CCCCTAAGGCCTTAAACGCAAAGCGCTCACTCCAAACCCCAAACCCCACTCCCCAAAACCCCCAAAACCCTCAACCCCTGTACCCCTAACCCCCAAATCCCCCAAACCTAGGCAGGCCCGTGGGACATGTTATATTTTCCCTTATTGGGTTCAAGAGGATCATATTCAGGAATACTTTTTCAGAGGGTTGAACCTAAACCCTAAACCCTAAACCCTCAACCCTCAACCCTCAACCCTCAACCCTCAACCCTCAACCCTCAACCCTCAACCCTCAACCCTCAACCCTAAACCCTAAACCCTAAACCCTAAACCCTAAACCCTAAACCCTAAACCCTAAACCCTAGAAATCGAGAGGTGCTATTCTTGGTGGTGACGATTGCGGGAGCTCACGGATCCTTGCTCGCAGTTGCAGGTCTCGAGTTTTCCAGCTCGTTCAACCCCTGTAAGCACGGAATCCTAGACCCTAAACCCTAACCCCCTAAAGCTAAACCCGAAACCCCGAACCGAAAAATCCCAAACACTACTGCAAATAGGGGCTTGGGGTTTGGGGCCTGTAGGTTGATAGGAATTTAAGGGTGGAGGGCCTAGGGTTCAAGGTTCTAAGGTTTGTTGGGCGGGGGAGGGGTTGCGTTCGAAAGGGGCTCAGAAGTTTGGTCTTGCAAGGCTGAAGTTTGGGCTTCTGGGGTTTGGCCGACGAAGGTTGTGCGTTGCGCGGCGGGAAATTCAGGTTCATGTGGGCATTCAGGGTTCCGTAGGGCTAAGCTGAGTTCTTGTTATTCAGTTGGTATAACAGGGGTCCTCTATCTCCGTGCTTGTTCTTTGAAATATTAAATATTGTATCTTATTCTAAGTTCCCGAACAAACTTAAGAACCCTAAACCCCAAATCCTGTGCAACCCTGTGCAACGCTATGTAACCCTGCATAACCGTGTGCAAGCCTGTGTAACCCTGCAGAACCGTTTGTCACCCTAACGCCTTAGCACTGCACAGGGGATTCAGAGAGCCAAACCCTAAGCCTCCAAACCCTAAGCCTCCAAACCCTAAATCCTAAACCCAAAACCCAAAGCCCAAAGCCCTAGAGAACCTTACGCTCCAAAGCCGGAAAGACAGAAAAAGCAGCAACCTAAACCCCTAAACCCCTAAACCCCTAAACTCTAAACCCCTAAACCCCCCCAAAAGTCCTTAAGGCCCTAAACCCACTAGCCCTCAAAGCCCGAAACCCAATAGCCCTTAAAGCTCTCAACCCCTAAAGCCCCCAAAAGCCCTTAAAGCCCTAAACCCAATAGCCCTTAAAGCCCGGAACCCCCTAGACCCGGTTAGAACCCTTAAAGCCCTCGGCCCCGAAGATGTTTCTGGGTTCTGGAGCCTGCGGAAACAGGAAGAAGGCCCTACTTGTAAGTCGTTTAGGGTTTAGGGTTTAGGGTTTAGGGTTTAGGGTTTAGGGTTTAGGGTTTAGGGTTTAGGGTTTAGGGTTTAGGGTCTTCTAGCATGAACATCCAAGCCTGAGCCCCAAACCCTGGCTCCGAAGGATTGTGGCTCTTGCCAGCCATCCTTTCTGTTCTTGGTGGCTCCAAGGACGTTTTTTTTTTTTTAATAAACATTTTGTCCCTAAACCCTAGACCCTAAACCCTTAACCCCAAAAGTGTCAGGCTTCAGATGAAGCTCGAGGTTGTATAGCGCGCCAAGATGTGAGAGACAAGGGAGAGGGAGCTTCAAGAAATAGAGGGGTAAGGGTTCAGAGTTTAGGGCTCAGGGTTCAGGGTTTAGGGTTTAGGGTTTAATTAGGGTTTAGGGGTTAGGGTTTAGGGTTTAGGGTTTTGGGTTTAGGGTTTAGGGTTTAGGGCGGACTCGCATGGTACCCCAGAAAAGCACCCCGAAGCCTGAGCCCGAACCGTCTAAGTGCCTCCCCGGCTCATTCTTCATCATGGTGTACAGTTAGTTCAGGGCTTAGAGTTCTTGATCATTGTGGTCTGTTTTTGCTGATGCAATTCTTTATGTTTGTTGATCCGCTACCTACAACCCTCAACCCTCAAAACCCTCAACCCTCAAAACCCTAACCCTAAGCACTAAACCCTAAACACTAAACCCTAAACGCTAAATCCTAAACCCTAAACCCTAAACCCTCAAAAAGGAGGCCAAGGTCGAGCCGGCTTGAAGGAATTGACCAGCAGAGACCCAAGTAGATCGACCGCTTTGAGGTGATGGAGGGCTGCAGTAAGCTCGCGAGCCCTGTGGCGACTTCTCTCAGGTTCAGATCCTGAGTAGAGTCCATAAAAAGCCTCCAAAACCTCTCTGTATTTGCACAATTTTCGATTTTTTTCTTTCAATTCCGTGGGCTGCCGGCCTCCGCATGGAGACTGTTGGGCAGCCGGCGTGAGTTCCGCCATTTTGGGCGTTCCGAGCTCTGACCTCGGGATGTCCACCCCCCGGAACACAGGGAGCAGGTACTTCTGGCCAGCTCTCCCAGCTTCAAGACTTTAAAGAAAGCTTGACTTGGTTGTTAGTATTTCGCCCTTAGGGCCTTCGCCTACTGGGACGGGGGCCGTTGCCAGCGACTCAGAAACTGAGTCGCTGGGCGACGCGGGCCAGCCGTGCGCCAGTGCTTCCCCAGGGCTCTGCGCCATCCGTGAGGCTCCGGCTCGGGGCCTGGTTCCTGACTTGACAAGTATATCTGTATACGTGCTATATATAGAATAATATAGTAGAACATTGTCTGATATTGTATATAACATATAGTATGTAGTATATAATATATCATCGATAATGAGGAGCTCAGTCCACAAGGCTCTTCTACGTAGATCCATCCCTGACCTTGAGGACGCGAACAGAATGTGGGGAGGCTACCTAAGAACCTATTCCGGGGTTTAGTCATCACCTACCCAAAAAGTTGGTTTGGAGTGTTTCAGCTCCTCAACCCTAAAGCCTAAACCCTAAAGCCTAAACCCTAAACCCTAAACCCTAAACCCTAAACTTAAACCCTAAAACCTAAAACCTAAAACCTAACACCTAAACCTCCAGCAGGCAAGACCCTTTCTTTCCGGGTGCTATGCTGCTACTAATTTTTGTAGGGTTTAGGGTTTAGGGTTTAGGGTTTAGGGTTTAGGGGGCTTTGGGCTGCTAGGCCCGAAAGCCAAAACCATAAGCTCGCACACCAAAACGCCAAAACCCATAATAGACCCCAAACCCTAACATCCTAAGGCTGCAAAGCTCAGAGCCACTAGCACTGGTGCTTGGACCTCAACTCGCTCTGCTGGCTTTGCGCGTCCGAAGGACGCTGCTGGCGAGGAGTGAAAACCGCAATCAATATGCATCCGAAGCCGGTAAGAAAGAGAGCGAAGGCCAAGAGCTTGAGTAGGACCTAACCCCTAAATCCTAAACGTGTGTTGATGATGTTTTTAGTTAAGGGTTTAGGGTTTGGGGTTTCAGACTTTAGGGTTTAGGGCTTAGGGTTTTCTACGTCCGCAGCACATGGTGAGGTTGGTGAGCCATTCTGTGCATGTAACCCTGCCAGCCAAGGGACCTGGGTTTAGGGTCTAGGGTTTAGGGTTTAGGGTACAGTCTGAGCGCTCCTGCCTCCAGTCTCCTCAGCAACAAACTAGGACCCAGAGTAGGCCCTTATTCCCTTTTCCAAAAGTTTGGGTCTAAACAGTATACCCTACACCCTAAACCCTAAACTCTAAACCCTAAACCATAGGTTTGTTAATGGTTTTGGTCCCCTTTTTAATTTTATGCCCTTTTAAAGCCAACAAGGGCACCCTTTTATTCCTAGGTTACTCTTGGGTCTAGCAGACGCTAGACCCTAAGCCTTAAGCCCGAAGCCCTTCGTCAATTCCGGGGGGCCTCTGAAAAGTCCTTTCGTTCCTAAGCCCCGAAAGAACTAAACTTCCCTAAACTTCTCACCCTAAACCCTAAGCCCTACACCCTAAACGTTAGACCCTAAACCCTAAACCCTAAACCCTAAACCCTAAACCCTAAACCCTAAACCCTAAACCCTAAACCCTAAACCCTAAACCCTAAACCCTAAACCCTAAACCCTAAACCCTAAACCCTAAACCCTAAATCATAGGCATGCCTGGACCGTTGCGGCTCACAGCTGGTGGATTTTGCAATGGTAGCCGTGTAGGTTGATGATCTTGAGGAGCCTTGCCTGCATGGTTACTTTTTTTGGATTCAGGGTTTAGGGTTTGGGGTTTAGGGTTTGGGGTTTGGGGGTTTTAGGGTTTACGGTGTGGCGTTTTGGGTTTTAGGGTTTCAGGGTTTTAGGGATTTGTAGGGGTACTGTAGGGTTTTGTAGGGTTTTGTGGGGTTCTCGGGGTTTAGGGTTTTGGCTTTTGGTGTAGAATGTCGCGGGCTTTAGGGGTTTTTGGTTGAGTTCTTGTCGCAACGACTTCTTGCGTCGCTGCGCACCAATTCTCTGGGATGCCCAGTAGTGCCCTTGTTCCCTTTTTTGGGGGTTAGGTTCCCTTATAAAACCCCTTTAAGCAAAAAAGGGTACCCTTTTTGATCCTGGGTTGCTGAGCATCCTAGACTAGCACTCCTGTAAAGATTCAAGCAACTGCCAGCAACTGCCCAGGAAACGTACGAATGTGCAGCTTCCCCTAGAGAACACCCTGAGCCCTCAACCTTAAAACCCTTAAACCCTTAAACCCTTGCACCCTTAATTAAACCCTTAAACCCTTAAAGCCCTGAAAGCAAAGCAGGGGAATCCCAAACTCTGAACCCCAAAAACCCTTAAACACTTAACAGCACAACATAGGCAAATCCCTAAAGCCTGAAACCCTAAAAACCTTGAACCCTGAACCCCTAAACCCTTACCGCAAACTAAAGGCCCAGGTGTGGGGGAGGGGGGTTGGGGCCCAAGCCCTATACCCTATACCCTAAACCCTAAACCCTAAACCCTAAACCCTAAACCCTAAACCCTAAACCCTAAACCCTGAGGAGGTTGGGGGGGGGGGGGGGGAGGCACAAGATAAAGCGCGAAGAACCAAGGCCGGAAGAGCCATGGGCAGTGGAGCCCTCAAGGGGCTGCAAAGCCGAGGTTTAGGGTTTAGGGTTTAGGGTTTAGGGTTTAGGGTTTAGGGTTTACGGCTTAGGGCTTAGGGTTTAGGGTTTAGGGTTTAGGGTTTAGGGCGTAAGTTCGGGTCTGTTTAACGGCCTCGGGTGTGTAAGTTTTTTTTGAGTGGTTTGAAGGGCCTTTAGGGGCTGCATGTTGGTTTAACGGGTTTTAGCTTAAGGGCTGTAGCTGCTTTGGAGGATTGTGGTTTTAGGGTTGTTTAGGGGGTTTAGGGGGTTTAAGTTGTTAAGGAGGTTTAGGGGTTCAGGGGGTTTAGAGGGTTCAGGGGGTCTAGGTTTTTGAATGTACCCTATTTCTTTACTTTACGCCCTCAGTAAGGGCTGCGCCGGTGTTTCAGGTCGGCCTTAGCGTTCACGAAGGGCATTTTTCTAAGCTTGACTTTGGGTTTAGACTGTTTATGCTTTGGGGCTTTGGGGAGGTGGGGGGGGGGACGTCCCAAACCCTAAACCCTAAACCCTCAAGGCTAGGATCAAATGGAAATTGTATGTGCTTCATTCAGAACTTGCAATTTTACCCTTCAGTTTCTCAGAACTTGCAATTCAATTTCTCTGAACTTGCAGTTTCGATGGGATACAACAATCCTTCAAAGAACCCACAGGGCTTCAACAGACAGGTCTTCAAGCCCTCGTCAAAAGCCCGACAAACGCCGCCACCCTCTCTACACACACCCCTAGGTCAAGTAGGGCCAAAATGCCGAAAAAGCAACAAGCAAAACCCGGCCAACCCTGCAAAACTCTGGACACACAGGCGGTGCGCGCAAAGCAAAACTCAAAGCAGCAGGTGTCGCAAGCAAAAGAAGCTCAAAGAAACTAGTGCCGCGAGCAAAACATGAAACTCAAAGCAGCAGGTGTCACGAGCATAAGCAGCAGGTGTCGCGAGCTGTAAAAGAAACTCAAAGCAGCAGGTGTCGCGAGTAAGGGAAGAAACTCAAAAGGGCAAAGAAACTGAACCCCCACCCTGTACATTTTCTATAAGCCCCAAACTTTCAACCCAACACCCCTACAGTTTAGGACTCAGGGCTCAGGGCAGGTAGTGTTCAGGGCACTTTAGGGTTTGGACTCGGATGAGGTCCTTGTTGGGAACAGAGGGAACTTAAGCCATGAAGTCCCAAACCCTAAGCCGTAAACCCAAAACCCTAAATCCCAAGTCCTACACCCCAAACCCCAAACCTGAGCCCTAAACACTACTTGGAGGTTCATAACTCAATAATAACTACACTTATGACCTAGCTATAACCCTACTCGGGCACTTAAGGGGCTTATAAGTGGGTTCTCAGTACAGTTAGAATTACCCTAAACCCTAGACCCTAAACCCAAAACCCTCCACCCGAAAACTCTAAACCCTAAACCCCAAACCCTAGACCCTAGACCCTAAACCCTAAGATCCTAAGACCCTAAGACCCTAAGACCCTAAGACCCTAAGACCCTAAGACCCTAAGACCCTAAGACCCTTAGAATTACCCTAAACCCTAAACCCTAAACCCTAAACCCTAAACCCTAAACCCTAAACCCTAAACCCTAAACCCTAAACCCTAAACCCTAAACCCTAAACCCTAAACCCTAAACCCCAGACCCTAAGACCCTAAGATCCTAAGACCCTAAAGCAAGGCAGGCTCCTGGAGCCCCCTGGCGGGGGTTACCAGGCGCTGTCCACCAACTACAGCGTGCCCTCAACGAAGCGGCCTGGCTCTGTGGTGTAGGGTTTAGGGTTTAGGGTTTAGGGTTTAGGGTTTAGGGTTTGGGGTTTGGGGTTAGGGGTTAGGGGTTTAGGGGTTTAGGGTTTAGGGTTTTACGGTGGGTAGTCAGAAGTAAGGTTAGAAGTACCCTCAATGGAGCTATAGGTATAGCTACCAAAATGACAACCCTACTTATAACTACCCATGAACCTCCAAGTATCTTTTTTTCTCTCAAATTTTAGGGTTAAGGGTTTAGGGGTTTAGCGTTTCAGGGTTGTGGGGTGTTAGGGGTTTAGAGTTTTGGGTTTTGGGGCGCAAGGCGGTTTAGAGTTATTGAGGTGTAGGGCTTAGATGGTACGGGGTATGTGGCTACCAGCGTACGAGGTTATTGGGGAAGGGTGTTTTGCGACATTAAGTGGGTCATTCGGGTTTTTTAGGGCGCAGGGTACATATTCTGCATGGCATTGAGGGTATTGGCACAGTAGATTGGGGGGTCGCAAGGTCAAGAATGGATGCTGCTGCTCAGGTATGAAGTCCCAACGACCTGGGGTTACTCCGTACCTGGCACGGCCTATGAGACAGCAGGAAGCGTCCAAGGCACGTACTCGCCGCCGGAGACAAGCTGCATGGCGGAAATCCTTGAAGGGTTTTTCGGGTTTAGGGCAGGGGTTTAGGATTGAGGTTTCAGGGTGTAGGGTTTGGTTTTTGGGATATCTGACTTGTAGTAGAAGCAGAACCTGCCTTTTTCGAGGCTACTTCCCGCAGAACAGCTTCGCCCCCGTCGCCACGAAGTATGACTTCCCCTCGAATGGGCACCCTTCAACGCTGCCAACTGCGACGCCTACACCCGGCAGCCAGTCCTACATCCCAACACCAGCCAGCCAGACTCTTTGTGGTGCTTTACAAAGTAACTTTAGGTCCTTAGCTTTTTTGGGGTTTATTGGGTTTCTGAATAAGGCAGCTAAAAAGAATTTATAGCTACCCTCCGCAGTGCAGCCAAGGACTCAGACGTACAACCCCAACCCCTTTGCCAGCCAGATGACTGTCTATGACGTTACTAGGTCGGTTTCTGGGACTTTTTTTTATATATTTCCCTTCTTGGGTTGAAGAGGCTCTAATTTCAGGTCTAAACTCTAAACCCTAAACCCTAAACCCTAAATTTCAAATTCAAACTTTTGCAAGGGACCTCCTATAGGTTCCGGCAACGAGCTACGACGCCCCGCTGCGGAGTGGGAACCTGGCCGTGCCGGCCGCGTACGCCCCTGTCAACATGACACCGGCATCGACCTTCACGACCTTTACCACGCCCTCCACCTCCCAGGATGGACTGACCAAAACCCTCAACCCTAAACTACCCTAAACCCTAAGCCCGCAACCCTAAACCCTAAACCCTAAACCCTAACGTCCCAGGATGGACTGACCATGGGGGTCTACGGCCCCTGCAGTTCCGCTCCGGCCGCGGACCCGGCCCAGATGACCTACGCCGCGCCCCTCTCCAGCGCGCCCCTCCACAGCTACAACCCACCGCCTGGCTACGCGTCACCGGCGCTGGGAACCAGAGAGGCCTGGGCTGTTGGGGTTCGAGGTTTAGGGTTTAGGGTTTAGGGTCTAGGGTCTAGGGTTTAGGGTTTCCTTACGTGGGATCCAGAAGGAATCTATGATGGTATGGTTACCCAATGTAAGGGCCTACTTCTTGATCCGAAGCGTTCCAAGTCTTGACTGGCATCGACGAGCGTGCGCGTCGCGTATGTACGTGTGTATGCATATACACATATCTATCTACATCTAATGCACACACACACACACGCACGACAAGAAAGCAAGACTTAAAGCATGTACGTAGGTAGGTAGGTAGGTAGGTAGGTAGGTGGGTACGTATGTATGTATGTATGTATGTATGTATGTATGTATGTATGTATGTATGTATGTATGTATGTACGTACGCGCATGCACACATATATGTATACATATGTATGTATATAGATAAAAAAATGCTCCTGTATTGTTTATACACATACGTATGCACTTACACGCTGATTGTATTATGTGCGAAGGCATGTCTTGTATTTGGGGCATGAAGGTCGCGCCCATCTCCAGCGCGCCCCTCCAGAGCTACAACCCTCCGCCTGGCTACGCGTCGCCGGCGCTGGGAACCAGAGAGGCCTGGGCTGTTGGGGTTCGAGGTTTAGGGTTTAGGGTTTAGGGTTTTAGGGTTTAGGGTTTAGGGTTTAGGGTTTAGGATATCGGGTTTCGGGTTTCGGGTTTAGGGTTTCCTGACGTGGGTTCCACAAGGAATCCGACTATGATGGTATGGTTACCCAATGTAAGGGGCTACTTTTGAATCCGAAGCGTCCCAAGTCTCGACTGGGGTCGAACAGCGTGCGCGTCATAGCTGTACGTATGCGCATGTGCGCGTGTATACATATCCATCGACATCTATACACACACGCACACGAGTACATATGTCTGTGATGGGTGAGATGAGATGAGGTGAGATGAGATGAGATGAGATGAGATGACAGTATGTATGTATGCACACGCACACATATATGTATACACACATTTATTTATATGCATACACATGTTCCTGTATTGTCTATACACATGCATATGCACATACACGCCGATTGTACGTTTTGCAAAGGCATGTCTTGTATGGCGGGCATGTAGGCCTCAGCGAGCACTCTCGCCCCGTGAACAGGTTGGAACTCCGCCGCCGGCTGCTTCCCTGGAAGTTGGGGCAATGAGGTTTCTTCAGTTGGTCGCCTGAGGGCTGAAGAGCTACCAGCGTTCAGGTTTGAGGTAAGCCTTGTGGGCTTCGGAGTTTTGAGCTTTTTAGCCCTTGTCAGTTCTTCCTCACTGATGTGCCGAGCAGACCTCCCCCTATAAGGGTATACTGGGTATATCAGGTGTCCCCTTGTAAGGACCCATATCAAGGGACCATGTAACCCCAAGCCCGAAACCCGAAACCCTAAACCCCAAACCCTAAACCCCAAACCCTAAACCCCAAACCCTAAACCCTAAACCCCAAACCCTAAGCCCCAAACCCTAAACCCTAAACCCCAAACCCTAAGCCCCAAACCCTAAACCCCACAAAACCAGACCTTCCCTTAGGCCACGATGGCTTTGGATGCCACGTGCCGGGCGACGTTCTCGCCACCCCCAGCTCCTAGGCACCTTATGGAACCGAGGTTTAGGGTTTAGGGTTTAGGGTTTAGGGTTTAGGGTTTAGGGTTTAGGGTTTAGGGTTTAGGGTTTAGGGTTTAGGGTTTAGGGTTTGGGGTTGTGGGTTTAGGGGGTAGGGAGTTTAGGGTTTAGGGTTTAAGGTTTGGGGTTTAGCGGCGGGTTCAGGGGTGTACAGTATTTCAGGGTTTAGTGGTTTTCGGTTGAAAGGGCCACAGATTTCGGGTTGCCCTCAAGACTGCACCATACATCGTGCGAAAAAGAGCGCAACTGACGAACACTACGACAGACAGAGGTCCCGTGGTTGCCATGGGCCCTTCTGGGTACCCGAAGCCCTAAACACTGAAAAGACAAACTCCAGACCCTAGTTGCCCCAGAACCCTAAACCCTGAAAACCCAAACCCCAAATCCCTACTTGAAACTCTACTTACCCATGGTGTTTTAGGTCTAGGATTCAGGGGTTTAGGGGTCTAGGGTGCGGGTTGCAACCCTAAAGACCCTAAGACCCTAAAACCCTAAAACCTTGAAACCCTTAAATCCCTAAAACCCGAAAGCCCTAAACCCTAAACCCTCAACCCTGCAGGTTAAAGCAGTGTTATACGGTTCTTAAGGGAGGGGGGTTTCATGGGGGGTAGCTACCTAGGGAACCTTAGGGAAGCTCAGGGAGCCTTGGGGAGTAGTAGGGAGTACTAGGGAACCTTGGGTTGCATACCCCCCTCGACCCTCGTGCCAAGGATCAGCAGGGCAGCAGCCGTGGCTCGACGCAGCAAGGGTGGGTTTGGGTTTAGGGTTTAGGGTTTAGGGTTTAGGGTTTAGGGTTTAGGGTTTAGGGTTTAGGGTTTAGGGTTTAGGGTTTAGGGTTTAGTGTTTAGGGTTTAGGGTTTAGGGTTTGGGGTTTAGGGTTTAGGATTCCGGGGCCTAGGGGGTTTAGGGTTTAGGGCTTCAAGTTTAGGGGCTTCGGGTTTCGGTGTTTAGGGTTTGCCAGGGCTGGGCTCAGCGGACCGTTTTGCCGTCGTAGCGAAGTTGAGGGGCACCCTAAACCCTAAACCCTAAACCCTAAACCCTAAACCCTAAACCCTAAACCCTAAACCCTAAACCCTAAACCCTAAACCCTAAACCCTAAACCCTCATGACTCCCGGCGTTCCAGCGCTGGCAGGCTTCTGAGCGCCTATGATAGGGTGTCAAGGAACCTTGAGTTCCGTAAGGATACCCCTCTTATAGGAAATTCTTTTCAAGTGGTTTGCCTGTGTTCCGTGACGAGAAACCCCTAAACCCCCAAACCCCAAACCTTAAGCTCTAAAACCCTGAAGCCCCTACACCCTAAACCTTAAACCCTAAATCTGAAACCCAAGACACCTTAAACTCTAAACCCCAAAAACCTTAAGCCCTACACCCCCCAAAGCCCCCTTAGCCCCTACTCGGAGGTTCATGGTACTTACTAGCCCATGAATAACTGTACTTATAACCCAACTATAACCATACTAGCGCACTTAAGGTGCTCATAAGTGGGCGAAGTACAGTTCTAATGGGTCCTAAATACTAAAACCTAAAGCCGAAACCCTAAACCCTAAACCAAAAAGCCCTAAGCCCTAAACCCTAAACCCTATTGGTTTAACAAGTACCCTGAACCTGCAAGTAGGCCCCCTAAACCCTAAACCCTAAACCCTAGGCCCTAGGCCCTAGGCCCTAGGCCCTAGGCCCTAGGCCCTAAACCCTAAACCCTAAACCCTAAACCCTGACCCCTAAACCCAGGCGTGCCAGTCTACGCCGCGCCGGGGACTCCGGAGCGCGACCTTCTTAGCTGCTTGGGAGACTCATAGGGTTTAGGGTTTCGGGTTTAGGGTTTAGGGTTTAGGGGTTTAGGGTTTAGGGTTTAGGGTTTAGGGGTTTAGGGTTTAGGGTTTAGGGTTTAGGGTTAGTGTTTATTGAGACACTGGGGTCGTTCGGGTTTAGGGTGCAGGGGGCCGTGGCTTCGGGAGTTTTCTGTCGATCACATCGAGGGCTGTGAGTCGAAAGGGTTTCGGGTTTAGGGTTTAGGGTTTAGGGTTTAGGGGTTTAGGGTTTAGGGTTTAGGGTTTAGGTTTTAGGGTTTAGGGTTTAGGGTTTAGGGCTTTTAAAGAGAGACCTCCTGCTTAGGCCAAGCCTTTATGCCTTTCAGGGGTCTAAGGAGGGACCGCGAGAAAGGGACCCTTAATCTTGTTTGCCTACATAACCCAATTTTTCCTAGTAGCCCCTACATTACCCGTGAGGTCCCTTATAAGGCTTCAGCCATAAAACCTAAACCTGAAACCCCAAACCCTTAACCCTAAACCCCAAACCCTAAACCCTAAACCCGAAACCCTAAACCCGAAACCGTTTGTGCCTTAACGTCCCCCCTGAGCCAAGTCTCAAGGGATGAAAACTCGGACCCCTAAGGTTGTACCCCTAAAGGTTCCCCTTAATATACTCCTAACATGGCCCTTCTTATCCCCTAAGGGATCCTGAAAAAAGGGGCCCCAAAACCTAAGGGTACAACCTTAAGGGTCCCTAAACCCTAAACCCTAGACCCTAAATCCTAAACCCTAACCCCCTTAAGAAGTCAAGGTTCGGCCGCTGCCACGACCCTTCTCGGAGCAACGCCGTTGACTCACGGCACCTTTGTCGATTTGGGCTTGCTTGGAACGCCGTTTTGACTCAGCAAGTGAGGTTCGTAAGTTGCTGTGTAGCCCAGAGGTACCCTTTAGCCTTTTTTGGGTTCTGGGTTCCCTTATAAAGTAACCAACCAAAAAAAGTGCCCTTATTATGATGTGGTTACTGTTCTACGAAGGTTGTGTTCTGTAGATAGTTAAAGGCTTTCTAGGGGGTACTACGTAGACATACTCACAGGGTTGGTTTGAACATGATGTTCATTCTGTACCCTGAACCCCTTATATAACCCTTATAAAGCTAGGGCCCTTGAACCGTCCCAAGGTAAAGTCTGAACTGTGGGTATCGATGGGGTTGAGGGTCTTAAACCCTAAACCCTAAACCCCAAACCCCAAACCCCAAACCCCAAACCCTAAACCCTAAACCCTACACCCTAAATTCTACATAAACCCTAAACCCTTTGTGTAGTCCCCCGTGTTTCGAACGGCGACCCAGAAAGCGGCGCTGAATCGGAAGCCCCGCGGCGACCGATGGGTTTCGGGTTTAGGGTTGAGGGTTACCCCATATGCCCTAACCCTAAACCCTAAACCCTAACCGCAATGGAAAAGGTTCGGGAATGGTTGTGCGAGGGGCTGGAAGGCTCGGGTCAAGGGCTAAGGTTTAGTTAGGGCTTCGGGCCCAGACAACCCCGAAGCCCTCCAAACAGCCCAGGCGAGAAACCTGTATGCCCTAACCGTCAACCTTTAACCCTAAACCCTGAACCCTAAACCCTAAACGCGAAGCCTGAAAAAAAAAACCTACACCATATTCGGTCCGAAGCACTAGGCCCGGGTACTGGCGTGGCGACACCCACCGCGCCGGGGCTCGGAACGGTGTCGACGCCCACTGCGGCGGGGCTCGGCACACTGAACGGCACGCCTTCGAAACCTCTTGGCCACTTGGCCACCTAGTAGGGTTTAATTAGGGTTTAGGGTTCAGGGTTTAGGGCTTAGGGCTTGGGGGCTTCGAAGTTTTGGTTTTAGGGTGTCGGGCTTTGGGGGCTTCTTGTTGTAGGTCAACTAAGAACCTTGACTGCGCAACCTACAAAACAAAAAGCAGAGGCTTCTCTTACATGGCGTAGGTCCGTCTGCGTTTTAGGGTTCAGTTCGGGGTTAGGGTCTGCCGTATTCTAGACCCTAAACCCTAAACCCGAAGCCCTAAACCCTAAGCCCTAAACCCTGAACCCTAACCCAAACGCTAAACATTAAACCCTAAGCCCGAAACCCTAAACCCTAAACCCTTATAAACCTTAAACCCTAAACCCTAAACCCTATAGGCCCGGGTTGGACGTATGGCTTTTCTCATGTCGGCTGTGAGGTTCCATTCGACAGGTGCCCATGCCCAGCACGCTGATCAAGGAGCTTGTTTCAGGTTTAGTGTGTAGCGTTTAGAGGGTTTAGGGTCTAGGGTTTATATGGTTTAGGGTTTAGGGTTTATGCTTTAGGGTTTAGGGTTTCCGGGCTTTGTAGGCTCAGACTTAGGGTTTATAGGGTTTAGGGCTTCGGGTGTAGTGTCAAGCACGGCAAGAGCCTAGGCTCACGCTCTAGGCTTTCGGCTTTAGGCTTTGGGGTTTAGGGTTTAGGCTTTAGGCTTCAGGCTTCAGGCTTCAGGCTTTAGGCTTTAGGCTTTAGGGTTTAGGGTAGTTTAGGGTTTAAGGTTTAGAGTTTAGGTTTAAGGTTTAGGGTTTAGTGTTTGGTTTCAGGTCTTGGGGTTGGGTGGTTTAGGGTTTTCTGTTGAGTTGGTTGGGTTGGCTTCTCCCTGCTAGGATCCCGAGAATGCCACCGTGACGCAGCACCATGCGATGCGACTTGCAGAAACCGAGGTTTTTCGTAGCTTCCTAAACCCTAAGATGTCGGGAACTCCCTAAACCCCATGTTAAAACAACTCTAAGCCTGGCTGTAACCTGCAGCCCCCTAAAGCTCCGTTCCAAGCACCCAGGGTTTTGGGTTTTGGGTTTTGGGTTTTGGGTTTTGGGTTTTGGCAAAACCTAACTTATGTCCATGCTCTTCGTGCGTGGTTTCGCTGAGCCTTCTTAGGCAGATTCCTCAGCCCCTTCAAAGCGCGCCGCTAAGAACCCAGGTCTGCTAATTTAGACTTAGATATTATCTTCCCAATTAAGGACTGCTGGTAAAAGGGGACCCAAACGCCCAAACCCAGCAGAACGCCCAACTGAGGGTCATGGCGACGCGAGAGCAGGCTCAGCCGGAGCTGCCTGCCTGAGTGTGCGGGGCTGGTGTAGGGTGTGGAGGTGTTTTCTGTTCTGAGCCCTTGCTAGAAAGGTTTCTGCCACAAGGCAAGCGAGTCCCTATATGGGGCATTGGTTTATAAGGGTTTTTGACGCAGGAATAGAGGGTCCCTTCGTACTCAGCCCCCTCGGACCCCCTTTCCATGAAGCACATTGTGATGTAAGCCTTCTGCCTGCATGCGACAGTACTGAGCTGGTAACCCTCTGAAACCGAAACCTTGATCTCTCCATGCAGCCTTTAAACCCTGAACCCTAATCCCTAACATTAGCCTTAAACTCTACTTCGGCCCTGCACATGAAGCCCGTAAACCTTCAACCCTACGTGAAGGCTCGTGTGGCACACCAGAGTCGTGATTGGGGGTCAGAAGCCAGGTCGTTTTTTTTGTGGTAACCCGTGTACAGCCATAAACCCTAAACCCTAAACCCTAAACCCTAAACCCTAAACCCTAACCCTAAACCCTAAACCCTAAACCCTAAACGGCCCCAAACCCTAAACCCGAAGAGTAGGCACTATCATCTAACCGCAATTTGTAGATCTTCAAGTAAGGTACCTGACTGGGCGGACGCAAGAGGTGGAGGGCCCGCCGCAGGCACGGTGATAGGGTTGAGGGTTTAGGGTTTAGGGTTTAGGGTTTAGGGTTTAGGGTTTAGGGTTTAGGGTTTCGGGTTCGGGGTTTGGGGTTTGGGGTTTCTGGTTTAGGCCTGTGGAGTTTAGGGTTGAGGGCTTTTGGTTTGGGGTTTCGGCTTCTGGGGTTTAGGCTTAGGGTCTAGGCTTTGGCGGGGTTCCGGGCTTGGGGAACCCCAAGCCCTGGTGGTCACCTCAGCAGGTGCCTAAACCCGAAGTGCAGGGCTTAAGGTTTAGGGTTTAGGGTTTAGGGTTTAGGGTTTAGGGTTTAGGGTTTAGGGTTTAGGGTTTAGGGTTTAGGGTTTAGGGTTTAGGGTTTAGGGTTTAGGGTTTAGGGCTTTGGGTTTTGGGTTTTGGGTTCGACCCTAAACCCGAAGTGCTAGCATTCCCTCAGGGTCTCTATATAGTTGTGCTACAATGACACCCAAGGCCCTGTTCTAATGATGATGGCCCCTATATCATACAGTCCCTAAGCTCTAGAGTATGTTGCTAAAGTAGGGGCTGCCTGAGGGGTGGTGTAGTACACCCACACCTACTGAGAACTGCAGGTGACGCAGCAGCATACCCAGCAGGTTGTGAATGGCGAGGCCTGGCAACTCGAACAGGGTCTAAGGTTTAGGGTTTAGGGTTTAGGGTTGAGGGTTGAGGGTTGAGGATTTAGGGTTTAACCCTAAACCCCAAACCCTAAACCCTAAACCCTATAAAACCCTAAAGCCCTAGGCCCTCTGCCACAAGGCTGAAAGCTGACTCCTTGAACACTCGCAAGAGGGGCGAGCAGCGTCAGAACAATCGAGCGACTGGTTTTTTTCCCAGCAGTCGACCCTTTCACCGGTGCGGTTCCCGAACATCCCTAAACCCTAAGCCCTAGACGAATCCTAACCTTCGCACACCGACGCAACAAGCCCTGCGTATTAGCTCCTGATGATCAACAAGCCTCAAACCCCAACAAAGCTACAGACCCTGAATGCCCAGTTTCCGAACTGCCCTAATTAAAGCCTATAAAAACCTTAAACCCCAAAAAAGCCTAAACCATAAACTTGCAATAAACCCTCAACCCTCAACCCTCAACCCTACACCCTAAACCCTGGGCCTTTTTGCCGTTGGAGGCTTCAGAGAATCTGAACATTTCTCCTCTCAGCTCCGGCAGGTTTTTGAAAAATCTCCCTAAGCCTTCGTCCCTTGGGATTTAGGGTTTAGGGTTTAGGATTTGGGGTTATTGGGGTTTAGGGTTTAGGGTTAGGGTCTAGGGTTCATAGGGTTCAGGAGTCTAGGAAGGTAGGACCTTGATATAGAACCACTTCTGTTACTTGCTTTTGAGAGGGTTATATTTCGGAATAGAGGGTTGCACTGGCCAGCCTACTTCAAGGGTGCGAATAATTGCTACTAGCATTTCCTTGAGCCCCAAAGTAGTAGAGGATTCCCTTATAATAAGGACCCCAAGAAGGTACCCCAAATTTCGGAAACCCCATATTGGTAAATTGCCCAAGTCCCTATCTAAACCCTAAACCCTAAATCCTAAACCCTAAAGCCTCAACCCTCAACCCTCAACCCTCAACCCTCAACCCTAAACCCTAAACCCTAAACCCTAAACCCTAAACCCTAAACCCTAAACCCTAAACCCTAAACCCTCCCCCGCCAAGTGAGCTACTCCAAGAGACGTGCTGCCACCTGGCAGGTCCAGCAGCAAGTGGTGGAGGCGGCCGCTGCAAAAAGAACCCTCAAACCCGAAGCGCTACACCCCTTTAACCTGAAATCCTAAACCGTAAATTATACCCTCTAAACCCTACCCTGAGCCCTAAACCCTACGAATTACGGTTCAGGGTCTAGGGTTTTGGGTGTTGAGGCCTCAGAGATCACGGTTCCAACCCCCCGAGCCTTCACCCCCTTTACATCGAAACTCGAGGCATAGTGCATTCAAGTGTAATTAGTGTCCACCCTACAGCCCCTGACAGTGTCCACGCAGCAACCTTCACAGGGTTTAGTTTTTTTTTTTAAATCTTTTTAGGGTCTAGGTGTACCTGCATAGTCTATACTTATATAGGGTAAACTACTACACAGGAACCCCTCCATTGCCCTCCTTGTATGTGCTGATGGGGGGGGGGGAGGGCGTTCTCTGAGTTATGTTCCCTCTTCGAATTCCCATTTCATCGTACGGAGCCTTGGATTGAGGTTACCCCACAAGGGACCATGTCCTTGTGGGCCTACCTGTTTATAGGTAGCCTCAAACCCTCTACCCTTAGTAATCACTTAACCCTAAACCCTAGAACCTCGGAGTTCTCCGGGCTTCTAAGGGATTCCCAAAAACCCTAAACCCTAAACCCTAAACCCTAAACCCTAAACCCTAAACCCTAAACCCTAAACCCTAAACCCTAAACCCTAAACCCTAAACCCTAAACCCTAAACCCTAAACCCTAAACCCGAACCCTTTAAAGAAGGTAAGGGACCATACTAAGGGACCCATGCAACTACCCTTAGAGCGATTCAAATCCAGGGTTCAGGGTAGGGTTTAGGGTTTAGGGTTTAGGGTTTAGGGTTTAGGGTTTAGGGTTTAGGGTTTAGGGTTTAGGGTTTAGGGTTTAGGGTTTTAGGGCTTCAGGGTTCGGGGGTTAATGGTGTCGGCCTTCAGGGTTTAAGTACGGTCCTCATAGATGGGAGTCGGGTATATTTTGGGGGGTATATAAGGCTAAACCCTAAACCCTACACCCTACACCCTACACCCTACACCCTACACCCTACACCCTAAACCCTAAACCCTAAACCCTAAACCCTAAACCCTAAACCCTAAACCCTAAACCCTCTCAAGCCCTCTTTTGGGAAGCCTCCCACCTTTTGGCCAAGCTCCAGGTGCCCAACGTGCAAGTCCACGAGATCATCCAGGAGATCCCCGAGGCGGACCGCCTTTGAAGCCCTTTGAGCTCGAAGCCCTTATGTTAGACCCTATAAACCCTCAACCCTAAACCCTCAAACCCTCAAACCCTCAACCCTCAAACCCTCAAACCCTCAAACCCTCAAACCCTCAAACCCTCAAACCCTCAAACCCTCAAACCCTCAAACCCTCAAACCCTCAAACCCTCAAACCCTCAAACCCTCAAACCCTCTCAACCCTCAAACCCTCAAACCCTCAAACCCTCAAACCCTCAAACCCTCAAACCCTCAAACCCTCAAACCCTCAAACCCTCAAACCCTCAAACCCTCAAACCCTCAAACCCTCAAACCCTCAAACCCTCAAACCCTAAACCCTAAACCCTAAGCCCAAAGCCCAGTTTGAGCCAACGTCATGGGCTCAGGCCCTAGTGCATCCTAAGCCTTCGTGAGGCCTAAGCACGAGCTAGGCGTCACTCCTGTGATCTGAGATCTTACGAGGGTTTAGGCTTTAGGATATAGGGTTTAGGGTTTAGGGATTAGGGTTTAGGGTTTAGGATATAGGGTTTAGGGTTTAGGATATAGGGTTTAGGGTTTAGGATGCACTTGAGCAGTAGCAAAGCAGCAGCCACAAGGAGGCCAGGTGGGTGCCGCCTAAACCCTAACTGAGCCCCTGAATCCTACACCTGAAGCCCTAAACCCTAAACCCTAAACCCTAAACCCTAAACCCTAAACCCTAAACCCTAAACCCTAAACCCTAAACCCTAAACCCTAAACCCTAAACCCTAAACCCTAAACCCTAACCTAAACCCTAAACCCTAAACCCTAAACCCTAAACCCTAAACCCTAAACCCTAAACCCTAAACCCTAAACCCTAAACCCTAAACCCTAAACCCTAAACCCTAAACCCTGAACCCTAAACCCTAAACCCGAAACCCGAAACCGGCCCGATAGGTGCAGATAGTCGACAAGATCGTCGAGGCGAGCTTTGGGTCTTCTGGGGGGTTTTGAATGTTGCGGTTTGGGGTTTAGGGTTTAGGGTTTAGGGTTGAGGGGTTTAGGGTTTAGGGTTTGGGGTTTGGGGTTTGGGGTTTGGGGTTTAGGGTTTAGGGTTTAGGGTTGAGGGTTGAGGGTTGAGAGTTCAGGGGTGTAGGTCTTAGCTTCAGGGCTCCTTGAGGCTTTAAGGCTGTTGGGCCGGTCTGAGGGTTTTGGGGCGTAGGGGTTGGGGGTTTTGCGATTTCGGGGTTTAGGGGTGTTGCTGGAGGTTTAGGTCTACATCTTTTGCATTGTGGCGGCTTCGGGAGGGTTCTGCGTCGCGAGGGGGGCTTCTCGGCATGGTGCCCACAACTCAAGGGCTTTGGGCGCGCGTTTATCCTGAACCCCAACAACCTACCCCCTTTCCTCCCCAGAGCGACTTGAGGCATATGCTTCCGACTATATTCGGATGCTTGCGATGATCTGTATTCCGATGCTTGCTAGGATTTTCAACAGACCGTGCCGTAGTGAAAGTGGCATTGGGTTCCTTGGGGTCTAAACCCTAAACCCTAAACCCTAAACCCTAAACCCTAAACCCTAAACCCTAAACCCTAAACCCTAAACCCTAAACCCTAAACCCTAAACCCTAAACCCTAAACCCTAAACCCTAAACCCTAAACCCTAAACCCTAAACCCTAACCTAAACCCTAAACCCTAAACCCTAAACCCTAAACCCTAAACCCTAAACCCTAAACCCTAAACCCTAAACCCTAAACCCTAAACCCTAAACCCAAACCCTAACCGTGCGGCAAAGCAGGTGCCACGCGTGGTGCAGCAGCCCGTCGAGCACATCGTCGAGGAGATCGCCGGGGCCTCGTGAAAAGCTTCAACCCATGGGGGTTCTACCTTGGACCCCTAAGGTTGTACCCTTGTGTTTGGGGACCCCTTCTTAAAGATCCTCTAAGGCTCTAAGGCTAAGGGAATATACGGGCCATATCGGGAGTGTGTTGGAGTAACCTCCTAGATATACATCCCCAGGGGTCCGAGTATGACTCCCTTGAGCCACATCTGCCTGTCGCCCTGTCTGCGACATTGGCTTCAAACCCCCCAACCGTGGGCGCAACAAAGTGTATAAGGACCCAAAACTCAAGCCCGGGTACGTTGATGCCACTTGGGGGTTCAGGTGGAAACCCTAAACCCTAAACCCTAAACCCTAAACCCTAAACCCTAAAGTCTTTGGCCGCGAGCGCGACCTAGTCGCGAAGCGGCCTCGCGACGATCAGGAGCCGTCAAGACACACCACTGCAGAGGGTGAAGCCTCTGCAGCCTCTCCTCCTAGGCAAGGCCCCCCTCATGGGACTACTAATAAAGATGAGACCTGTAAACTTCAACCCCATACCCGGCATGGATCCCAAATCCTAATTCGAGCCTACAAGCCTCCTGGAAGCCTCCCAGTGCTTTTTGAAGGTCCCCAGAGCTCCTTCGAAAGCTTTTCAAGCTGCTTGGGAGCCTTTTAAGGACTTCCAAAGGGTCACCGGACCCCCGCGACCTTTTCACTGCCTAATTTTGGTCAAGGGGGGGTCGTATTTTTCCATTTTCAAAGCAATTTAGTATTCGGAGACCCCCCTTGCTCAAAACTCCGACCCCCCCTTGAGAGGGAAAGTTTGCCTCCAAAAACACCCCACATGAGGGGACCCCAGGATTGGCCCGGGTCCCAGTTAAAAATGCGATTTTTTAGTACTGAAATCGACGGTTCTGGGTGGGCTCTGGTTTTTTGGATTTTTGGACCAAACCGAGCCTTCACCGGTTTGGATACTAAATCCCTAATTCGAGCCTACAAGCCTCCCGGAAGCCTCCCACTGCTTTTTGAAGGTCCCCAAAGCTCCTTCGACAGCTTTTCAAGCTGCTTGGGAGCCTTTTAGGGACTTCCAAAGCGTCACCGGACCCCCGCGACCTTTTCACGGCCTAATTTTGGTCAAGGGGGGGTCGTATTTTCCATTTTCGAAGCAATTTAGTATTCGGAGACTTCCCCTTGCTCAAAACTCCGACCCCCCCCAGGGAAAGTTTGCCTCCAAAAACACCCCAAATGAGGGGGACCCCAGGATCGGCCCGGGCCCCAGTTAAAAATGCGATTTTTTAGTACTGAAATCGACGGTTCTGGGTGGGCTCTCGTTTCCTGGATTTTTGGCCAAGACCGAGCCTTCCCCAGGATTTCAAGTTTTTCAGGGTTCTTCAAGGTTTTTCAGAGTTTTTCAATGCTTTTGAAGGTTTTTCAATGTTTTTCAGGATGCTTCAGGGTTTTTAACCCTCAATTCTGATGAAAGGCCGCCCCCGCGACCTTTTCACGGCCTAATTTTGGTCAAGGGGGGTCCTATTTTTCCATTTAATTTTCAAAGCAATTTAGTATTCGGAGGCCCCCCTTGCTCAAAACTCCGACCCCCCCTTGAGAGGGAAAGTTTGCCTCCAAAAACACCCCAAACGAGGGGGACCCCAGGATCGGCCCGGTCCCAGTTAAAAATGCGATTTTTTAGTACCGAAATCGACGGTTCTGGCTGGGCTCTCGCTTCCTGGATTTTTGGCCAAGACCGAGCCTTCATTAGGATTTCGAGTTTTTCAGGCTTCTTCACGGTTTTTCGAAATTTTCAATGCTTTTGAAGGTTTTTCAATGTTTTTTCAGGATGTTTCAAGGTTTTTAACCCTCAATTCTGATGAAAGGCCGCCCCCACGACCTTTTCAAGACCTAATTTTGGTCAAGGGGGGTCGTATTTTTCCATTTTCAAAGCAATTTAGTATTCGGAGGCCCCCCTTGCTCAAAACTCCGACCCACCCTTGAGAGGGAAAGTTTGCCTCCAAAAACACCCCAAATGAGGGGGACCCCAGGATCGGCCCGGGCCCCAGTTAAAAATGCCATTTTTTAGTACTGAAATCGACGGTTCTGGAAGGGCTCTCGTTTTCTGGATTTTTGGCCAAGACCGAGCCTTCACTAGGATTTCAAGTTTTTCAGGCTTCTTCAAGGTTTTTCCGATTTTTTCAATGTTTACCGGTTTCAGCCAAAAACACCCCAAATGAAGGGGGACCCCAGGATCGGCCCAGGTCCCAGTTAAAAATGCGATTTTTCAGTACTGAAATCGACGGTTCTGGGTGGGCTCGCGTTTCCTGGAATTTGACTAAAACCGAGCCTTGCTCCCCCCGGACAATTTCTGCAGGCTCCTCCCGGACAGTTTCTGAGCTTTTTTGGGCTCCTCCCGGACAGTTTCTGGGCCTTTTTGGGGCTCCTCCTGTTTCGTGCTTGTTTGGGCTCCCGGACAGTTTCTGAGCCTTTTTGGGTCCTTCCAGTTTCTGAGTTTTTTGGGCTCCTCCCGGACAGTTTCTGGTTTTTGGACTCCTCCCGGACAGTTTTCGATGGGCCTCCCGAACCTTTTGAGGCTCCTCCCGGACAGTTTCTCAGGCTTTTTGGGCTCCTCCCGGACAGTTTCTGGGCCTTTTTGGGCTCCTCCCGGACAATTTCGGGATCAAGAGCGTGCATATTGGTCTCTTCTGAGGGGACGCGGCGGCTTTGTTTTGCTGGCGGCAGCCAGGTAGTCTCACGTAAAACCCGGACCCTGCTCCGAGGGAAACAATCTAGACCCACGTTCTGGCGGGGAAAACTTTCCTTCGGTTTCTCCAATTTTTGTTTCTTAAACATCTGCGCGCAAGTTAAGTTGCATCCTTCGGCTACAACTCAACTTCCGCGCGACGTGATTGTAATTTAGAGAAGGGGGTGAGAAAAAGAAAAAAAGAAAAATTGATTACACAACGAACGCCGGGAGGGTCGGGCGGGCAACAAGCAGCCGCGCGTCAGGCTTGGCACACCCTAAACCCTAAACCCTAGACCAAGCGAGCTTACCTCTTGCAGGCCTGCTCAAACCCATCTAGCACAGTTTCGGGTTGGTAGCTTCCCTTTTAAGTACGAGTCTTATAAAAGGCAAACCCTATATTGTTTATAAGAGGCTTATAAAGCGACTACCCGCCTACAACTCTACAAATGTGACTTACTTAACATCGTACCCCGGACCTCTCCACCCTGGCTTAGGATTGGTTTAGGGTTTAGGCTTTAAACTTGGCAGGTTCCAGTGTGGGTGGGTCCCAACAGCACTCGGAGGGTGGGGTCGCGGCACTAAGACGCCCTAGACCCCAAACTCTGAACCGCTTAGGCTTAGGGCCCCGGGCTTCAAGCCCCTCAGCCCCTGCAACCTCCCCGCGAACCCCCCCCCCCCGCCCCACCCACCCACGCCCACAGCCGGAAACACAGGTCCACGTTCCCAGGATCATCACCCAGGCCTCGGCTTTGGGGGTGGTTTGAGGGTATCTCTGAAAGCTCATGGGACTTTCTGAGGGACAAGAGTTCGAGGGAGTATTCCTACGGTTGTTCTGTTGCGGTCCAGAGCAAGAAGTAGCAGATATCCACAACTGCAACCGGTCGGTAGGACACATGGACCTTCTCCAGTAGCGTCTTCCGAGTGTAGGGCATGAGTTTGCACCGCGGAGATGATTTTAGTCCCTCGACCCTAAACCCTAAACCCTGAACCCTAAACCCTAAACCCTAAACCCTAAACCCTAAACCCTAAATCCTAAACCCTAAACCCTAAACCCCAAACCCAAAACCCTAACCCGAACCCTAAACCCGAAACCCTAAACCCTAAACCCTGGGTGCCAGGTTGCCCAGATGCAGAATTGTTGAGCAGACCAGCATGATACATTAGACCATCAGCCCAAGTCGTTTCTGATACGGTTGGTAGGGCCTAGGAGTGTGAAAGGGTACTTACACGGGCCCTTATTATGAATACAAGAATGGCTGTCAATGTCTGCTATGCAGATATATCGTTGTTTTACTTTAGTTTTTTGGTGCTAGGTGTTTTAGAATGGATTTTCGATGGGGAGTCGCTTATATATATATATATATATATGTGTATATATATATATATATACATATACCTATGAAGCAGGAGGAGGTTGTTACAAATACTTCGCTCTTACTATCTGTTGCTGGGAAGGAGTGGCCTACGATGTGGGTCTTGGAGGGGGGGGAGGCGGGGGTAGTAGCACATATGTATATATGTATATATATACATATATATATATGTATATATATATATATATCCCCAGCAAAACCCACCGTTTTCTAGTTGTCTACACTCGTGTGATATGAACGAGGGTTTGGATTGGAGAGTTTATGCTGCTGAATGCTGGGGTTAATTCAATATAGACCTCAAACAATTTATCCCCTCTTGATAACAAGTATTGTTGTTGAAAAATTCAGGTGGAGGAGTGAGGGCTTAAGTGCCCATGTAGCAGTTAAATCTTCCCCTGAAACATAAGCATGCTTTCGAGGCGTTGAGGCGGAGGAGTGAGGGCTCAGGGTGGCGGGTTTAGGATGCTTGGATTAGGTCAAGATAATACCCCAGGAATACTTCCTTTAACAATAACCATTGCCATGTCTTTAAAGATTGAGGTGGAGGAGTGAGGGCTTGATTGCTTTTGTTGAGTCGTAACACGCGAGACGTCAAGGAAGATAAGAACCACAAGCACACCTCCCCGATAAGCAAAACCGAGAGCTTGCTAGTGTCACAGTATACTGCAGATATTCACAAACAGATAAATAATAATGTATTATGTTTATCTTTATGATTCTTGCATATTTGTTTTTTAAGACGCGCGAAACAGGACCTACGAGAGAGTTCGCACAATCTTAAAGAACCAAAAAAGTGCACTCCCACAGTTCCCCGGACTCATATATATATATATATATATATATATATTCTTTTTTTGGGGGGTTAAGCAAATAGTAGCTAGAGTGTGCTCCTGGTGTGGGGTTCAGGAAAAGGGGTCCAGGGTTGTCAGGGGTTTTGGGTTTCTATGGTTTGGGAGAGAAGGGGTTTCGGGGTTTAGGGGTTTAGGGTAAACCCTAAACCCTAGACCCTAAACCCTAAACCCTGGAACATGGCTACAAGCTTTGTCCTTCTCACTTCGCTTCGGGCTGGTGTGCTTCGTCGTCTCTTGCTTCGAAAGATGGCAGCGCCCGTCCTCGCGCCAAAGAAGTGCAGCGGCCACCCTGCCGCGTTGGAGTGCTCGAAGGTGGTGAAGGGCGCTGGTTCTCTGTGCCACAGCTGCGCCCAGAAGAAGACGCAGGCCGAGAAGAAGGAGGCCGAAAAGGCGGCTGCGGCGGGTGGCGTTCCGCCGGTCGTCGAACCTGCTGCTGCGGCTCCATCGGGTGACGTTCCGCCGGTTCTCCCACGTGCTTCTGCCTTGTTCGTGTTCGGGAAAGCCACGGACCCCCAGTACCAGCAGGCGGTACTGAACGTGTTCGGACAACGAGGCGGTTTAGGTTCCCTTATAAGCCCCAGCTTATTTTCCTAAGTGACCCTTTGGGTCTAGGCTAAGGTGCGGGTAAACTTTGCTACCATGTACCAACTCTTATGGGGGTTCACGAAAAGAAGGGGCCCCGAATATACACCCCCAAATAGCAGGATTCCCTTATAATAAGGACCCCAAGAACCCATAATTTTAAAAACCCCTTATAGCACTCCTTTCACCCAGAGGGTCCCCTCCCTCAGGCTCAGGGGGTTTGGCCTCGGGGTTGAAGGTTCTTCTCGGCTCCTGGAGGCTCAGTGGCTCAAGCCCGACACCCCTGAACCCTAAACCCTAAGCCCTGCACCCTACACCCCTAAACCCTAAACCCTAAACCCTAAACCCTAAACCCTAAACCCTAAACCCCAAACCCTAAACCCTAAACCCTGCACCCTACACCCCTAACCCTAAACCCTAAACCCCAACCCTAAACCCTACACCCTACACCCCGAAAGTAGCGCCGCAGGAGCGGGTCCAACACCGGACGATTGACCGTTTCGTGGACATCCCGGTGCCGGAAACTCGCGAGGCGCAGATGTTGCAGGTCAGGGCTGACTCAGGGGGTTTGGGGTTTAGGGTTTAGGGTTTAGGGCTTGGGGTTTAGGGGTTCAGGGTTTTGGGGTTTCGGGTTTGGGGTCTGGGGTTTAGGGTTTGGGGTTTAAGGTCTGTCCAAGGGTAGTTGTGTGGTCCCTGAGCTCCTGAAAAAGGGTTCTGAAGTATGGGCCCTTGGGTTTGAAAGTGTCTATGAGGGTTTGGGGCTTCAGGTTTGTGGTTTGGGGCTTGGGGTTTAGGGTGCCCGAAAGCCTCATCCCCGCTGAGGAGATCGTCCACGTTCCCGTGAGCGACATCCAGGAGCGCCACCATCACATAGAGGCTGGACCTGCGCCCCAACGTAGGCCTTAACAGCATAAACCCCCAAATGGGCCTGGGTTAGGGGCTTAGGGTCTAGATATGGGTCTTTCCCAAAACAGGGGCACCCCTTTTATACCTCACAGAGAAAAATATCCCCTTCAAGGGACCTGGCCCCCAAGAAGGGTACCCCCTATTTTTCGCAGACCCCCACATGTCAAAAAGAAAGAGCCCCTAGCTCCATACCGGTGGCAAAAGTGTTTTCTCGGCTCGTGTATCCTGCAAATCCGTGAAGGTGGCCACGTAGTAAATCCTGAAATTTGAATGAAAGAAGAACCACAAACTCAAGCTTCTAAAGCGTAATCCCTCAATCAAGAAGCCCACTTTTGAAGCCTAAGCCCCTAAACCCTAAACCCTAAACAGTCCCTAAACCCTAAACCCTAAACAGTCCCTAAACCCTAAACCCTAAACCCTAAACCCTAAACCCTAAACCCTAAAGCCTAAAGCCTAAAGCCTAAACCCTAAACCCTAAACCCTAGACCCTAAACCCTAAACCCTAAACCCTAAACCGACGCCAACACCTAACCCTACGTTTGCCTTTCCCCAAGCAGTCGGCTTCATCTCCAAACCCTAAACTCTGACCTGAGACTCTAAACCCCAAAACTCCTGAACCCCTAATGCCCTCCCCATAATGCCCCTCTAACGCCCCCCTAAAGCGTCCCCAAAGCCCCTGGAGCCTAAAGGCCTAAAGCCTCAGACGCCACAAGAGTGAGAAAGGGCGGGCTCCGGATCCCCAAGCCCGTTTAAAAGGTTAGGGTTTATTGGGGTTTAGTGGGTAAGGGTGTAGGGTCCAGGGTTCAGGTTTAGGGTTTAGGGTTTAGGGTTTAGGGTTTGGGGTTTAGGGTTGAGGGTTGAGGGTTGAGGGTTTCGGGTGTAAGGGTTTCGGGGGTTCGAGCTTAGGGTGGTTCAGGGTCGAACCCCAAGCCGGAGAGCCCAAGAACTTTCCCTGGACCCCGTAAAGCCCCAAAATAAATTACAAGCCCTAAACCCCAAACCTCAAACCCTAAACCCTAAACCCTAAACCCTAAACCGTAACCCGGGTCCGCAGGTGGAGCAGGTCGTGGAGGTCCATGTGCCGATGCAGAAGGAGGTCCGTCGATGTTGTTTCTTGAGGCTTTCTAGGGTTTAGGGTTTAGGGTTTAGGGTTGAGGGTTGAGGGTTGAGGGTTTAGGGTTTAGGGTTTAGGGTTTAGGGCTATGGAAAGCAGACCCGGGACAACCCAAAACCATAAGGCCGGAAACCCCAACCCCCAAACCCTCAAGACTTCCTTGCCTGCTCTGGCTGCCATGCGGGTTTAGGGTTTAGGGTTCAGGGTTTAGGGCTTACAGTTTAGGGTTTAGGGTTTTGGGTTTAGGGTTTAGGATTTAGGGTTTAGGATTTAGGGTTTAGGGTTTAGGGTTCAGCGATCAGTGTTTCTAGGCAAGTCGAGGAGGTTGAATCCCCGAATCCCCTGAACCCTGGGTTCGAGTTGCCCTAAACCCTAAACCCTAAACCCTAAACCCTAAACCCTAAACCCCAAACCCTAAACCCTAAACCCTAAACCCCAAACCCTAAACCCTAAACCCTAAACCTCCAAACCCCAAACCCTAAACCCTAAATGTGGGGCTCTCGGCTACCCATTCTGAAGCCGCACGCCCTGCGAAGGAGGTGGTCCAGGTACCCGTCGCCATCCGACAGAAGCGTGTGGTGCACAAGACGGCTGCTGTGCTGCAAGCCCGAAATCCTAAACCCTAAGCCCTAAACCCTAAACCCTAAACCCTAAACTCTAAAACCCCCTAAACCCTAAAGCCCCTAAACCCTAAACCCTAAACCCCTAAAGCCTAAACCTCAAACCCTGCACTTAAACACTGCCTGGTGTTCGGGCTTTAAGAGGTGAATCTTCGGTTGAGCGGGCGTTGGTTCCTTCCCTTCCAGAGTCTAGTTGGGGGTGGGGGGACGGGGAGGGGGCTGCTGTTTGGGTTTGGGGCTACCGCTCAATAATTTTCCGTTGGTTCTGACTTCTAAAACTATTCAGAGGGCTTCGCCCTTCGCCCTAAACCCTTAGCCTTAAACCCTGAACCCTAGTTTCCTTCAAGTTCCCTCATCGTGGACTCATGAGTCAGAAGGGTCCTTCCTGCTTGGAGGGTCCTGGGGCAGTTGGCGCGAGCCTTACTTTGGCCACGCATGAAGCCCCAAAGCCTCTTCACCCGTGAACTTAAACCTCAAAGTACCCATGAACCTGCAGCTAGCCCCAGAGTGCTAGGTTGAGACGATGGTTGAGGTTCCGGTGCCTGTGACACACGAGGACACCGAGTGCCTTTGGTAGACATTTAGGGTTTCGGGTCTTTTCGGGGGTTTATAAGGCTTTTTTGGGTTTTAGGATTTGGGTGGGGTCGGGGTGAACACTGTGGTTTGCAGGGTTACGGATTTAAGGTTTTTCTCATGGAAGGTCAAGGCTATCAAGACCAAGCGCAGCTACTGCACCGTCCAATTGTTTCGTTAGTTCTTCTCATAGTCAACCCTCCCAACACTAAACCCTAAGCCCTCAACCCTCGACCCTGAACCCTCAACCCAAAACCCTCAGCCCTAAACCCTATACCAACCCTAAGCCCTAAAGACTTTTGTTGCTTTGCGCGGAAGATTGGGGTTCAAGCGTGGAAGTGGGAAAAAGATCCTGGGCTTGACGTAGCTTACTGTTGGTTAGTAGGGACTGGGGGAGTAAGATACCATATATCCCCTATATACCCTTCAAGGGATTATAAATGGTACCTTATTCTCCCGTTCCCTGCTGACCGACAGTGGGGTAATCATCTGCATGTAGGGCTTAGGTTCTAGGGTTTTAGGGCATAGGGTTTGCTGCGGTTTAGGGTCTATTGTTTAGGTTTTGTGTTGTTAATGTAGGCTATCTGTGTAATATACATGAATAGATCCGCGTGTTTGACTGGCCTTGCTTGCCCTGTGCAGGAGATCGTTCATGTGCCAAAGGCCGGGGTATACCAAGCTGGTAGCACACGGAAGGACTTGCTTCCCTAAACCCTGAACCCTAAACCCTAAGCCCTAAGCCCTAAGCCCTAAGCCCTAAGCTCTAAGCCCACTTTTGGGTAGAACTCCATGTGCATGGGCATCCAGAGAGCACATCCCAGAGAGCCCCAAGCCCTAAGTAAGGAACATACCTCAAGCTGTACAGGAATTGCCGGGGTTTAGGGTTCAGGGTTTATAGGGTTTAGGGTTCAGAGAACGGATTGTATTTTGCACGCCCTCAACCCTAAACACGCCCTTGCACCTGTCCTGCTATACGCGTCGCAGAAGCTGCTGATAGACAAGTATCAAGATGGATATAAACAGACAGAAGTATGTATGTATGTGCCAAAGTGTATCAAGGACAAATGCAGTTAAAGCAACACATATGTTTACACACGCATACATACTGGTGTTAACTTTATGTTGTTGACTACATCTAGATATGCGTGTATATATATATGTACACATAGAGAAGTATTTAGGTCAACAAGAATGAAGAATATGTATATATATATATATATATATTCTATATCCGCAGATGCACTTGCATCATACTATACTCACTACGCCACCCGGGCAGCACTACCGCAGCCACTCCTCCATAGCTGCATCATTCTTGCGCAGCACTGGTCTATATGGTGGTCTACGATAGGGTTTAGGGTTTAGGGTTTAGGGTACTAATGTAGACCAATGTAGACCCCCGAAATAGGTAGGATACCGGATGCCAGTACGGTGCCCTTCGCCCAAAACCCTGCACCCTGAACCTTAAACCCTAAACCCTAAACCCTATGAGTAAGTCTCCCAACCGCATTCTTCTGACAGGTCGTCAACCAGTACAGGCATCACCACAATGAGGTTGAGCACATCATTGATGTGCACGTCCCGCACCACATCGAGGAGTGGAGGGTTTAGGGTTTAGGGTGTAGGGTTTAGGGTTTAGGGTTTAGGGTCTAGGGTCTAGGGTCTAGGGTTTAGTTTAGGGTTTCGTGTCTAGAATCTAGGGTCCTAGCCCCCAAAACTCGAAGCCCTAAAGCCTGCCTTGTGGCGATGCTACCTAGTCACAAGTTCTTGCGACTCAATGCAGGCCCTAAAGATCCGAAACCCTCTGGTTTAGGGTTTAGGGTTTAGGGTTTAGGGTTTAGGGTGGGGGTTTGGGATTTGCCCCAACCCTAACCCGAAGACTTCTGCAACAACTGTAACCACAGAGAGCCGATATGCATGTTAGGGCCGTTCTCTAAATAAGGGTCGTGCTCTGGGGGGGGGGGGGGGGTCCTTATTAGAAGGGTGTTTTCCAAAAGGGACCCTAACTTAGAGAACTACCTATGTAGGCCATAAACCCTTTACCCTAAACCCTAAACCCTAAACTCAGGGCCTAGATCACAGCAAAACCCTAAACCCTAAACCCTAGGCCCTAAACCCTAGGCCCTAAACCCTAAACCCTAAACCCGAAACCCCTTGTTTAGAGAAGCCACCCATATCCATGCCCCAGGAGACGGTGCACGTCCCCAAGGTGGTCCGCCAGGAGCGAGCCGGAGACCTGGCATCGGTGCGGTTTGAGGGGGGGGTTTAGGGTTTAGGGTTTAGGTTCTAGGGTCAAGGGTTTAGGGTTCAGGGTTTAGGGTTTAGGGTACAGGCACAGAGTTCCGAAACCCAGAGCCCTAAACCCGAAGACCCTCGAAGTATCGGCATGAAGCCCCCAAGATGCGCAACGCAAGATGCGTCAGCGGGCTGATGAGGGGTTATGACAAGCCACTCCCCGTGTTGTTCAGGTAGCACCCTTAATCTCGAAACCCTAAACCCTAAACCCTAAACCCTAAACCTTAAAAGAGACCGGATAAGCTCCTGAGATCGTGCACCAGACGGTTGAGCAGATTGTCGAGATCCCCGTGCCCGTTGTTCAAGAGCAGGCCTCTTCCGGGGCCCGGGGTGGCTTTATACACCAGGAGCCCAAGACCCATGTGGGGGCTTCTGAAAATAGGGGTTCAGGGTTTAGGGATAGGGTTTAGGGTTTAGGGTTTGGGGTTTAGGGTTTGGGGTTTGGGGTTTGGGGTTTAGGGTTTAGGGTTTGGGGTTTGGGGTTTAGGGTTTAGGGTTTCCGAAAATAGGTACCCTTTTCGGGGGTCCCTTCAAGGGCATTCTACTCTATTTGGGGTATAAAAGGGGTACCCCTATGTTGGGACATGCCCATATGTTAATGTAGGTTGTGGAAGTACGACACCGGGCGTTTAGTGCTTTGTTTTGTTCGGGTTCAGAGTAGGGTCTATTCGCATTTTTCTCAGGTGCTTGGTGTGAGTGCAAGACTTAAGAGGGTTCCTTAAACCCCAAAAAACTCGTTTGCAGGAAGTGGCAGGTGTCAATAGCCGCAAAGGCAGAGTGTTTCGGGATCGTTCAAGTTGAGCCCTGAATCCTGTGACCTAACTTCATGACTGCCCCTACTACACCCCTGATACTGCTTAATATTCCATAAATAGCCTTAAGTAGGGGGGAACCTAGGGGGGGGTAACAGTATAGATGGGGGTAGTAGGGGAATCCATGATACCTCGCATGTTGAGCCCTGATTCCCCTCGGGCGCAGATCGTGCACGTTCCGAAGATCATCACGCAGGCCCCGCGAGCTGCTGGCCGCAGGGTTGAGGGTTTGGGGCCTAAGTAAGCTCTCCAACCCCACAATGAGATGGATTCTTGGGGTGTTGGGGGTTCAGGTTCAGATACTCGAAGCCCCAAACCCTAAATCCTAAACCCTAAACCCGAAACCCTAAACCCTGAACCCTAAACCCTAAACCTTCAACCCTTTTGGGGGCCTCTTAGGGCTCTGGGTTGGTTCAGGGTCCAGGATTACAGCTCGAGGGTTGAGGGGTGCAACTTGAGTTTAGGGTTTAGGGTTTAGGGTTTAGGGTTTAGGGTTTAGGGCCTGAACCCCGATACAATCCTGATAATGCCATCGAGTTGTACTTGTTATAGGGCAGGGCCCCCAAACAAACACCAGCCATCGCTACGGAGATGTTGCTAACTCTCCTGCGCCTTGCCTGTGCTTGCACACTTCCATCAACTGCCCCACTCGTATGGTTCGTTGTTTTTGTTTCTTACCTGTTCCCTCGCCTTGTGTATGCATGCTGTGTCCGTGTGAGTCTTCGCTTCTTTCAACATGCATCTTACTGAACAAAGCTCATGTGGTCCCCCCTAAAGCCCTAAACCCCTAAACCCCTAAAGCCCTGAACCCTAAGCCCTAAACCCTAAACCCCAACCACCCCAAACCCCGAAATCCTAAACCCGAAACCCCAAACCCTACAGTAAACTTCATAAAGTTGGAACATGGTTTTAAGGACGATTAGTGCTGGGATTCCCTTTAGTAACCCTCTTGGGGGTATGAGGAGAATGATGTTCCAACTTTTGGGAGGTTACGGTAAACCCCAAACCCCAAACCCTAACCCCAAACCCTAAACCCTAAACCCTAAACCCTAAACCCTAAACCCTAAACCCTAAACCCTAAACCCTAAACCCACCAGTGCAGGAGCGGAGCAAGGTTGTGCACGTCGAGCACGTCATTGATGTGCCCGTGCCGCAGACGGTCGAGGCCTGGGGATGAGGGAGCCTAAGGCTTTCTTTGGGGAATTTTAGGGTTTAGGGTTTAGGGTTTAGGGTTTAGGGTTTAGGGTTTAGGGTTTAGGGCTTGGGGAATTTGGGCTTTCTTGCTTTTGTTTGTGATTTGCTTTGTTCTTTTGTTTTTTTGGGGTGCTTTTAGCTTTCTTGCTGTTTTTATTGGCTTTGGTTTTGTTCGTTTATTTCTTTGGGGGCCTTCTTTTTTTTCTGGGCTTTTGTTTTGTTATTTTTTTGGGGTGAGTTTTTGCTTTCTTGCTTTTCTTTTTTGTTTTCGTTTTGTTCTTTTATCTTTTTTTTGGGGGGGGGAAGGGGGTAGGGTTAGGGATTTAGGGTTCAGGCTAGGGTTTAGGGTTTACAGCTTTCTTTGGGGGGAGTTGTTTTCTTTTGCATTGCTATTTTTTGTGTTATTATTGATTTGTTTTTTGGGGGGGTGTGGGGGCGGGGCCAGGTTTAGGGTTCAGGGTTTAGGGTTTGGGGTTTAGGCTTAGGGGGTTGGGATTTCGGGTTTAGGGTTTAGGGCTTGGGGTTTGGGTTTTGGAACTTAAGGTTTCAAGAAGAAGCCGTCCTCCTGATTACGCCCTGTTGCATAATTGGGAAGATGTAAGCGTGACCTCTGGACAAGGTGAGCTGGACAAGAAGTGCACGCGTAGTCTCTCCTTCTTCTTCCCCCTCGTTCTTAGTAGGGAATGAGGGAACCTATGTTTAAACCCTAAACCTGAAACCCGAAACCCGAAACCGTAAACCCTAAACCCTAAACCCTACACCATAAAAACCCTAAACCCTAAACCCTAAACCCCAAACCCTAAACCCTAAACCCTAAACCCTCAACCCTCAACCCTAAACCCTAAACCCTAAACCCTAAACCCTAAACCCTAAGCCCTGATGGTTTTGGGCCGACCGCAGGAGATCGTGCATGTGCCCATCGTGCACACCGAGGAGCCCCAGACTGCCATGCGCAAACGTCAGGGGCTTTAGGGTTTAGGGTTTAGGGTTTAGGGTTTGGGGTTTAGGGTTTTGGGTTTTGGGTTTAGGGTTAGGGCTGTTGGGGTTGAGGTGGCAAACCCTTGCGCTTGCATGCACACGCTGACACTGCTGACACCTTCCATAGTCCTTGCGGGCCAAACCTGCACTTGATTCCTGGTACTTTCGAGAGCACGGCTTTAGGCTTTAGGCTTTAGGCGTTAGGCTTTCAGGCTTGTTGGCTAAGGGCTTACTGTTTCAGCGTTTTAGGGTTTCGGGTGTAGGGACCCTAAACCCCAAGCCTTAAACCCTGAATCCTAAACCTTGAACCCTAAACCCTAAACCCTAAACCCTAAACCCTAAACCCTAAACCCGCAGTTTGGAGCTGGTACTCTATTCGAAGAGTTTATGGACTCCGGGCTCTGCTCAGGGTTGAGAACTGAGGGTTTAGGGTTTCAGGTGTTCCCCTCATATTAACTAGTCTTGAATAGCGATGATGGTACCCCCCCCCATTATGATCCCCATAGGTGTTCCCCTTGTTTCTATCATAACTACCTCGACATGATGATGAGTTACTCTTAAATCTCGTATTTCCTCATACTAAATAGTCTTTTGTAGGGATGATGGTACCCCCCCCCATTATGATCCCAATTAAGGGCTGCTAGTGTCTATATCCCCCTTGGGAATTATTTTTTCTTGTTTATAGATAACCCAAGAGGGTTTAGGGTTTAGGGTTTAGGGTTTAGGGTTTAGGGTTTAGGGTTTAGGGTTTAGGGTTTAGCGTTTTAACCAATTTTTATTTTTGTTAAGGTTCTAAGGGGAGTATAGGTGCAGGGGGGAGCATCCCAAGTTTCAGGCAACTTTCGAGCCGAGCATCTGCTTAGTTGGGGCTTCGGGCTGAGGCTTGTTCTCAGAGTCGCTTCTGTACCCTAAACCCTAAACCCTAAACCCTAAACCCTAAACCCTAAACTTACCAGTGTCAGTCTTAAGCCGCGCAACCTTGAACCCAAGTTGTCCAAACCCCCCAGCTGGCAATCGCGTGGCCCTAAGCTCCAACAATCTTAGTAGCTGGGTGAGCACACTTTACACTTTCTGAGATACTATAACCCCCTATAGAACTGAAAGTGTACACTTTTTTGGGGCTTATGAACTCAGCAACGAAGATATTGAAAACCCTAAACCCTAAACCCTAAACCCTAAACCCTAAACCCTAAACCCTAAACCCTAAACCCTAAACCCTAAACCCTAAACCCTAAACCCTATGAGGAGAAGCTCGTCCAGAATGAGGTCGAGGTCACAGTGGAGGTGCCAAGGCGAGCCCAGCAAGAAGCGCCTGACTGCGCTGAGAGATAAATACTACCGGCTGTACTCTAGGTAGGCCCTTGGGACATGTTTATCTCTTGCCTTATTGGGTGTAGACCCTAAACACGGAACCGAAAACCCAAAACCCAAAACCCTAAACCCTAAACCCTAAACCCTAAACCCTAAACCCTAAACCCTCACCCCGCGTTTCGGGGGCATCGACCCGGCCAGCCACAGGCCGATCATCCTGGAGAAAACCGTCGAAGTGCCGAAAGTGGTGATCGAGGAGTGATGTCTGGGTTTAGGGTTTAGGGTTCAGGGTTCAGGGTTCAGGGTTTAGGGTTTAGGGTTTAGGGTGAGGGTTTAAGGAGTTCGGGGTGTGCGAGATTAGGGGTACCGTGTTGGTTCCTTATTCTCAGGGGATCCTGCTATGCTAGCAGCGATGCCTGGGTCACTAGTAGCTGCTTAAGAACCCCGAATAAAGTAGAATGACAAAACCTATATTCCCCTTTTTAGGCAGAATTTCAGATTTTGGGTGGGGGGGTGGGGGAGAGTTCTGCGGCAATTAGCAGGTTAGGGTTCAAGTGTTTGGCACTTGTGAATTTGAGGGCTGGGGGTGTAAGGTTTGAGGTAGACATTGGCTTCCGGGTGCATGGCTTACAGTTTTCTTGGGCTTTCGGGGTGAAGGGCTCTCGGATTGCAGGGTTCAAGCCTTGCGGATTGCAGCAGAAGCAATCAGCATCTCGCCCCGATCTCACAAGTTGGAAAACAGATCCTTGACATCTAACCTAAGCTACTGCGCAGGCTCCGGTATTACAGCTGTAGACCGGTTTGGGTTTCGGGCTTTGGGTTTCAGGAAGCTCCACACTATGAAGTCTCTTGCAGGAGACAATTGTCAGAGTGCCCAAGGTCACACAGACGGTTCAGCATGTGACCGTTCAGGCACGCTTGAGAGTCAGTTGAGTGTCACTTAATTGTTGAGGTCCTCGCAGGTCTGTGGGGATTTAGTCACCGGTTGGGGACTATCAACATGGGGGTCCCTATTACTAATGGGAACCCCAATAAGGAGTCGATCAACCATAACTTAGAACCCCCCTTTTTTGTTCGTCCTTCGATGGAACTTTTCAGGTGTCCGCCTTGCCAGGCTTTTGGGTTACCCCTAGATCATACGAGGAGGGCTGTCAAGCAGGCCCAAACGAATCGATATGGGGTTTCCGAAATTAGGGGTACCTTAGTGGGGTCCTTTTTTATAAAGGAATCCTACTCGTTGGGGGTCTATATGGCGGGTCCCTGATTTTCGTACACCCCACAGCCCTGTCGTCTTTGTTCCTCCCGAGCCACATGTCTGTCACTGCTATGTGCCCGTCCCGCGCACTGCCTGGTCTTGAGACCCTGCAGGGGTTTAGGGCATAGTAGTAGGAAGAAGTAGTACGTAGTAGTAAGTAGTAGGTAGAAGTAAGTAGTAGTAAGTAGTAGTAGGTAGTAGTAAGAAGTAGAAAGAATCTCTAGGAAGTAGTAAGTAGCAAGTAGTAGGAGGGCTCTGTAGGGGTTTACGGTTACGGGAACCTCAAGTTTACCCCCAAAACCTACAGGAGCTTAGACACCTTAGAGAACCCTGGACCCTAAGGAACCCTAATTGAATACCCTCTCGGCCCTTGGGCTATGATCATGTGTAGTGTGGCTCCTCCGACCCAAATCAACAACTGCTGTTCCGCGCATCCGGCGCACCCTGCCGAAATTCAGACTCTCGGATCATCGTTTTTACATACCCTCCAATCACATGGAATCCAAGCCCTTGAGAATGAGATCCCGAATCCTCCACTTCAACTCTGTGGCGGTGGGGTGGCGATGACGTTCCTCGGAGCCCCCCGAAGAAAATGAGAGGGACGCTAACCTGCAGGTCGACACTCACTCACTCACTCGCTCACTCAATGAAGAGGGTTTAGAGTTTAGGGTTTAGGGTTTAGGGTTAAGGGTTTAGGGTTTAGGGTTTAGGGTCCCCAAAAAGCCTTCACCTTACATCACCCGACTTTACCCTACTCCACAAAAGGCAAACGTCCTAAATACCACCCAGGACAGCAGGCCCTTGTTCTCAAGGTGGACCAAACAAATACGGGGGGAAATCCTTACGAGAAGGGAGCCTGCTTTCTGGCTGTACGGCTGTTTTTGAAAGCCACTACCAACTAGCCCCTTTTAAAGCTCCAAGCCCTAAACCTTAAACCCTGGCCCTAAACCATAAATCTCAAACCCTAAACCCTAAACCCTAAACCCTAAACCCTAAACCCCTAAACCCTAAACCCTAAATACCAAATACCCTCGAGGACCAGGTCCAGAAGATTGAGGTGATCAAGCCGCAGATCCTGCAGAGGTGTGGTCGAAACGCCGTCGGCGAATAATTTTCTTTTAGTGTTTCGAGCCTACATAGGTTTTAAAAGGGTTTAGGGTTTGGGTAGGGTTTAGGGTTTAGGGTTGAGGGTTGAGGGTTGAAGGTTGAGGGTTGAGGGTTGAGGGTTGAGGGTTGAGGGTTTAGGGTTTAGGGTTTAGGGTTGAGAGCTACCTGGGACCAGTTTCTTTTCTTGGTTGGTTGATAGAGTGTTGCTCGGGCTTGCGGGGGGGAGGGGTTGAGGGAAGTTGAGGGTTGCGAGTTTCGGGCCTATAGGTTTTGTAGGGTGTATGGCGTTTTTCGGGCTTAGGTGTGTGGGGGGGGGGGGCGGTTAAGGGTCAGGGTTTGGAGTTTCGGGGTCAAGGGTTTTAGATTGGGATGTTCTCCCTTATACAAACAGTCCTTAATGGGGATTAGAGTACCCGCTAGTATAATCCCTACTAAGGACTACTAGTATAAGGGGGAACATCCCAAGTTTTGGAGTTTACGGGGTTTCAGAGTTTGGGGAGTTTGGGGAGTTTAGGGAGCTTGGGCGGATTCTGGAAGTTTGGGAGGGGGAGGGAGAGAAGGTGACGGAGACAAATAGACTAGACAGCCCCTGAAGAACCCTAAACCCGAAATCCCTAATCCCGAAACCCTAAACCCGAAACCCGAAACCCTGAACCCTGAAGCCCTAAACCCTAACCCCTAACCCCTAACCCCTAACCCCTAACCCCTAACCCCTAACCCCTAAACCCTAAACCCTAAACCCTAAACCCTAAACCCTAAACCCTAAACCCTAAACCCTAAACCCTAAACCCTAGCAGGACGGTGCAGCGGAAGAAGCCCATCATCCAGGAGAACATCACCGAGGTTCCCAAGGCCCCGACTTGAGTTGACGAGTTGAGCTGCAGGCCCGTTTCGGATTTGGGTGGGTGGTAGGGTTTCAGGTGGGTTTACACTAAACCCTAAACCCTAAACCCTAAACCCTAAACCCTCAACCCTAAACCCTAAACCCTCAACCTCTAGACCCTAAACCCTAAACCCTAAACCCTACTAAGCACGCAAGCTTCCGCGCTTGCAGATAGGCGGAGACGCCCTAAAAAAATCGAAAAGTCGAAAAGTCGAAAAGTCGAAAAGTCGAAAAGTCGAAAAGTCGAAAAGTTGTCGACTTTTCGACTTTTCGGGTCTCGCCGGGACTTTTCGGGACTTTTCGACTTTTCGTGGCTTTTCGGGCTTTTCGACTTTTCGGGGCTTGTGCACTTTTCAAGATTTTTCTACACTTTTCGACTTTTCGGACTTTTCGGGCTCATCCCCCTCAGGACTTTTCTGGACTTTTCGACTTTTCGTGGCTTTTCGGGCTTTTCGACTTTTCGGGGCTTGTGCACTTTTCGAGATTTTCCTGCACTTTTCAACTTTTCGGGCTTTTCGGGCTCATCCCCGTCAGCCCTTCCGACGACACACACACACACACATCCTAAACCAGTGCTATCATAAATCTACAGCCGCTCCGAATTTAAGAAGGCCTTGTAGGCTTCGCCGCGTGGATCTTACATGCGACAGCCTCAACGACGTGCCTGGGCAGCCTACATACATCCGGAGAAGACACTTGGCGATCATCTTTAGACCCAGGGCCTTGAACCCAGATCTCCAAGAACAATGCTTCAGAGTTTAGAGCCTATGGAGTTTAGACATTCAGGCTTCACATAGTCCAGGTTAAGAGTTTACAAGAAAGATTATTGAAGCAAGAAAATCAAGGGTTGAGCGTTAGGAAGAGTTCCACTATTCAAAGACAAGGTTACAGAGTTAGTTGTTCAGAGCACTTTATCTCTGGACCCTAACCTGCACCCAGATTTCCAAAGAAGTTCAGAGCTACAAGCTCATACCACCCCATCCCAGGATTAGTGCAGCGTACCCAGAGATCAAACGCTTCAGAGTTTAAAGCTTACGGTGTTGAGAGGTTCAGAGTTCAGGGTCAAGGCTCGGAGCTTTAGACATTTGCTATGTTGAAAAGGGTTAAGGATCATATCAAAAATATGGGTTAAGGGTTAAGAAGAGCTAGACTGTTCAGGGGCAAGGTTAAAGAGTTAGTTGTTCAGAGCACCTTCAAGGCCAACTGCCACAAATTTAGTATCTTCAAGTACGACTCTGAATTTTGAGGTAGATTCAAAAACAAACCAAACATCCAAAACCCTATGATTCCTACTCAGTGAAACTCAGGCCTTTCCTGGGCCAGCGGCCCGAAATCTACAAGTTCTAAAGCTTCTTGACTCCCGAGGTGAGGCTTGAAGGTTAGGCTTTTCGAGCTCACAAGGTTTACACCTTCCAGGACGACTGCGTGTCCATCCAGTCCGTGCCCCCCAAGCCCCCCCCCCCCCCCCCCCCCCCCCCCCCCCCCCCCCCCCCCCCCCGAACCGCATAAAAACCAATGCTGGGTTCCCGGCACTTCACCTTACAACTTCTAGAAGAATGTGCTTTGCCCACTTTTCCGCCTTTCGACATTTCGGCTTTTGGACATTTCGGGACTTTCAGCCTGCTCGGAACGTTCAGGATTGTTCGAAAATATTCATGCTTTCGACTTTTCCTACTTTTCGGGATTTTCACAACTTTTCGACTTTTCGACTTTTCGACTTTTCGGCTTTTCGGCTTTTCGTTTTTTCGGCGACTTTTCGTTTTTTTCGGCGACTTTTCGGATTTTTCGGTACTTTTCCCGCATTTTCGACTTTTCGACTTTTCGCCTTTTCGCGCTAAGCTTGTGCCCCAATCAACTTTTCGACTTTTCGGGTTTTCGGCTTTTCGGGTTTTTGTGGGCGGACTCCACTTGCGGCCGCGGACAGCCGTTCGCAATCACAGCATAAACCCTAGACCCTAGACCCTAAACCCTAGACCCGGGTTTCGAGGGTCCCTAAACCCAGACCCCAGCGAGGGTCTCGTCGATCATGGGCCTCGTTGTCGTTCTTGTTGGGCACGGGCGCAGGTGGTCATCGAGCACGTGCCGGTGGAGTGCCTGGGCGCAGAGAGGGTTGAGGGTTAGGGTCTACTGGGAGGTTCATGGGTACTTATAACTTATAACCGTATAATTATTATTAGTCTACTTAAACCTACTTGGGGGACTTAGGGGCTTGTACGTACAGTTTTTTTGGGGAGGTTATAAGTAAGTACCCTGAACCTCCAAGTAGAGTTAGGGTTTAGGCTTCAGGGCTAAGAATTCAGGGCTGAATGCAGAGCATTTCGCCCAATCTTGAGGGCACAATATTCGTGATGCCTTTGGTTCTTGTCTCGTGTTTGTGGTGTGAGTATACATGTGTCTATTCTCCCGCAATACCAACAGAGCGCGAGATGAAAAGAGCATGGACCCCAAACCCCAAACCCCAAACCCCAAACCCCAAACCCTAAACCCTAAACCCTAAACCCTAAACCCTAAACCCTAAACCCCAAACCCCAAACCCTAAACCCTAAACCCTAAACCCTAAACCCTAAACCCTAAACCCCAACCCTTGAAGTGCTTTGGAAAACTATCAAGAAATGCACCGGAAGCATAGGCTCCCCTTACACCTCCAAGACCCCCCCCAAACTAGGCAGCTTGTCAGGAAAGGCCACTTTAGTTTCATTGGATTTGTTATACGTAATCCTTAATCCGATGAAAACATCTGCTCAAGAATCCGGTTTGGGGTTTACTGGTTAAGGGTTAATTAAGGGTTTTGGGTTCAGGGTTTGGGTCTGGAAAGCCATCCAATAGCAACCCTGAACCAAAAAGCCAGGAAAGCTGTCAAGAAGCTTCCCGCAACGCTCAGCCCAACACCCCCAGTCCTCCGAAACCCTAAGCCCTTTAATCCCTACAAGCCAGGAAGGTTGTCAAGAAACCGATCGATGTGCCTCAAGTTCAGTACGTCGACAAAATCGCCGGGAGCCCAATTGCCGGCTGTAGGGGCCTTCAAGATCTCTTTGACTAGGACCCAGAGTAGGCCTTTATTCCTTTTTTTGGGGGGTTTAGGGTTTAGGGTTTAGGGTTTAGGGTTTATAGGGTTTATAGGGTTTATAGGGTTTATAGGGTTTAGGGTTTAGGGTTTAGGACCTACGACCTAGGACCCAGAGTAGGCCCTTGTTTCCCTTTGTTTTTAAGGTTTTGATTCCATTTTATGCCCCTTTGGGCCAAAAAAGGGCACTCTCCTTATTCCTAGGTTACTCTTGGGTCTAGTTGAGGGTTTGTAGGTTTTCTGGGCTTGCTTGACCCGACTAGTGAGATCAGCCAGACCAACTGCTGCTTGGGACTCAGGGTTTAGGGTTTAGGGTTTAGGGTTTAGGGTTTAGGGTTTAGGGTTTAGGGTTGAGGGTTCAGAGCTTTTCCAGGGTTCATACCGCGTGGGGTTAGTGGGGCTTACAGGGGTTTGCGCTGAACACGGAAGCCCTCCTGCAACCCTAGACCCGAAGCCCTAAACCCTAAGCCCAAACCTCTGAACCCTGAAGTCTGAACCCTAAACCCTAAACCCAAAAACCCCAAACCCTAAACCCTAACCCCTAAACCCTAAACCCTAAACCCTAAACCCTAAACCACCGGCGCAAGGTGGACGTTCCCATCACCAAGCAGAGGCACGTGCCCGTCATCCAGAAGGTGCCGAAGACCGTGGAGGCAGGGCTTCGGCTTTAGGCTTTATAGGCTTTAGGGGGGTTTAGGGTTTAGGGTTTAGGGTCTTTAGGGTCTTTAGGGTCTTTAGGGTCTTTAGGGTCTTTAGGGTCTTTAGGGTCTTTAGGGTCTTTAGGGTCTTTAGGGTCTTTAGGGTCTTTAGGGTCTTTAGGGTCTTTAGGGTCTTTAGGGTTTTGGGTTTAGGGTTTAGGTTTTGGGGTGTAGGGTTTAAGGTTTGGGGTTTAGGGTTTAGGGTCTTTAGGGTTTAGGGTTTAGGGTCTAGGGTCTAGGGTCTGCAGGGTTCAGGGTTTAGGCTTCAGTGCGGGGGGTGGGGGGCTGGGCTGGGGGGAAGGCGTTCGAGTCTTCTCATGCTTGTTTAGAATGTAGCAGAGCTGACCAACACTAAACATGAGTTTAGTTGTCGACTAGCTGGAGAGTCTGCATACTTAACTGCTATAAACCCTAAACCCCCGCAACCCAGAATGCCCTATGCCCCGAATCCTTACAAGCCTAGATAAATTGGGGCCCCTTGGCTCCATAGGGTTTAGGGTTTAGGGTTTAGGGTTTAGGGTTTAGGGTTTAGGGTTTAGGATTCAGTGCCCGAGTTTCAGGTCCCTGTTTTGGAGTATGTGGACCACCACGTCCATGTCCCGGCCGCCACCTCAGCCCAAAGCCCAAAACTGCCGGGTTCACCTGGTGGAGTAGGGTAGGGAGGTTTAGGGTTTAGGGTTTAGGGTTTAGGGTTTAGGGTTTAGGGTTTAGGGTTTAGGGTTTAGGGTTTAGGGTTTAGGGTTTAGGGTTTTAGAGATTAGGGCTTTTTGGCTTGCCGAATTCCCTGCAAGAGGCCCTTAATGCCCCGCGAGCACCTGTGCAGGTAGGATTTCAGGGCTTCTTAGGGTTTAGGTTTCTATACTTTTACATGTGAGCCAGGGTTCATATTGAAGGGTTCAGAGTTTTGAATAATCATCAGTATTTAGGATGCAGGGTTGAGTGGGTTGATCTTGAGACAACCCCCTAAGCCCCCAAGCCCTAAACCCCCCAAACCTAAACCCTAAAACGCCCAACCTAAACCCTAAACCACACCCTAAGCCCTAGACTTTAACCCCTAGCAAACTTGCAGGCGCAACTCAGGGTTTCAGCCCAAACTCTCACACACACACACAGCCCTACAGCGCCTCTACCAAACCTTCCACAGCCCGAATCCCGAACCGCAGCATACACCCTGCAACTCCACAAAGCTCTCACAAGCCTGGCAGGTCAGCAACCCCCCCCCCCAACACATTCCCCTGGAAAATCTTAGAATAGAAACAACCCTAAACCCTAAACCCTAAACCCTGAACCCTAAACCCTAAACCCTAAACCCTAAACCCTCAACCCTAAACCCTAAACCTTCTGGGGCCTCCAGAACCGAACAGAAGCCCCGTGAGCCGCCTGGGCACCTTAGGTACAGCGGCACGAGCATGTCCCTATCGCGCCTCGGCCGAAATATTAAAGGTTATTTAGGGTCTAGGGTTTAGGGTTTAGGGTTTAGGGATGCTCAGGTATTAAGCATGTTTGGCGTTTCGCTTTTGGGGATTTGAGCGTTAACGCTCTATCGGCGAATGAGGCTGCGGGGTTCGAGTGCAACTTCAATTCAAGCAGTTTCGGGTTTACGGTTTAGGGTTTGGGGTTTGGGGTGTAGGGTTTAGGATTTGGGGTTTATAGGGTTTAGGGTTTGGGGTTTAGGGTTTAGGGTTCAGGGGTCCCTTTTTAATTCCTCTACAGAATTCGGCACCCTTAGAATCTGTTGTTTGCTTCAGAACAACCCGCGCAATCAAGAACAACAACCCCCGTACTGCCCTATATAATCCCTTAACGGGTATATATAGGGTGCCTCATTCCCTCATTCCCTATGTAATCCCTATATTGCCCTCTATAAGGGAACGCTAAAACCCTGAACCCTGAGCCCTAAACCACCTAAACCCTAGACCCAAACCTCCTAAACCCAAACCTCCTGAACCCAAACCTCCTAAACCCACAAGGACCCCAAAACCCTAAACCCTAAACCCTAAACCCTAAACCTTAAAGACCCTAAACCCTAAACCCTAAACCCTAAACCCTAAACCCTAAACCCTAAACCCTAAACCCACGTGGCCAGTTGGCTCTTGCGACCGGTCTCTTGCTTTGCTCTTGTGTCCATGTGTCGTTCGGCCCCTTACACTTACGTCCTTAGGATGCCCCTCCAACGTGGGTGTAGGGTTTGGGGTTTAGGGTTTGGGGTTTAGGGTTTAGGGTTTCGGGTTTAGGTTTCGGGTTTAGGGTTGAGGGTTCAGGGGTGCATGCAGAGAACTGAAAATATTGCTCTTAGCTGCTATAGGGATCCAATTGCAGTGTGGAGGTCCAGACCATCCAGAGACACGTGGAGGTTCCGACGATACAGTACGAGGCAACTTGGCTGTTTGGGGTGTTTATAGGATTTCGTTCGATGGCACAGCCTGCCTCGCTCCCTCCTTTTCTCTTCATCTCTAACTCTAGCTCTTCCTCTTCTTCTTCTTCTTCTTCCTCTTCCTCTTCTTCTCTTTCCTTGTTTTGCTTTCTTTTGATCCTTTTGGTGCACTCTTTAAAAAAAGCTTTCTCTCTCTCTCTCTCTGTCTCTTTCTCTTTCTCTTTCTTTCTCATTGTGTTTTGCGTCTGCGTCTGGGCGCCAGCCCCGCATCCCATGCAGGACGAGGTGGTTCCCGTGCCCGTGCAAAAACAGGTGCGGGGACGGTGAGCGTCTTGTGTCGTGAACCCTCAAGGGTTTAGGGTTTAGGGTTTAGGGTTTAGGGTTTAGGGTTTAGGGTTTAGGGTTTAGGGTTTAGGGTTTAGGGATGTAGCAGCGGCTGCATGGACACTTTTTTTCCAAACGTCGCATTTCGGAGGTGCACGTCCCCATCATCCAGAAAGTGCCGCGGATAGTCGAGGTACCTCAGGCAGCGGGAATAAGCGACATTAAACCCTAAACCCTAAGCCCCAAGCCCAATACCCTAAACCCTGAACCCTGAACCCTAAACCCTAAACCCTAAGCCCTAAACCCCAAACCCTAAACCCTAAGCCCTAAACCCTAAACCTTGTCTTGGGGTTAAGGATGCACTAGTGATGGGTGGGATGCTTCGCAGGCACGGGGTAATGAAGGAGCCTGCCGTGCAAAGATGGTTCTTAAAGTTTAGGGTTTAGGGTTTAGGGTTTGGGGTTTGGGGTTTAGGGTTTAGGCTTTAGGGTTTAGGGTTTAATTAGGGTTTAGGGTTAGGGTTTAGGGTTTGGGGTTTGAGGTTTAGGGTTTAAATCGAATGCTTAGCTCTTGCCTTTCTCACCTATTCTGCTCAAAGGCATGTGCTCTGCTTCAAAAACAAAAGCCCTAAACTGGAAAACAACAACTCCCCTGACCTTTGGCAGCTTACGGGCTTCCATCCCAATCATTTCAGGTGGGTTTAGGGTTTCGGGTTTAGGGGTTAGGGACCGCTTGGGGTTTAGTAACTTAGGGACCCTAGGGTTTGACGCTTCGGCTTAGGGGCTGAGGGTTTCTAAGGCCTTTGTGGTTTTCACAGCAGTAGCCGGTTGGGGAATTCGCTTCCTATAAAATCCCTGATATGGTATTCCCCCCCCCCCCCCCCCCGGCCCCAAAAAACACTCTGCAAAAAACTCTGCAGATTCGCAGAAATAGACTGTGTGGTACTTTACTGTAACTTTAGGTCCTTACCCTTTTTGGGTTAATTGGGTTTCTTAATAAGGCAGCTAAAAGTTTAATTTTTAGCTACCCTCCTGAGTGCAGCCAAGTAGATCCTTTGAGGGCTCGGAGCTGTGGCAGGTAGAGTTTGTGGACCATCACGTGCACGTTCCAGTCCCGCTCTCAGCCTTCTCCATGAGCGGCATGACCCTAAACCCTAAACCCTAAACCCTAAACCTTAAACCTTCAGACCCTAACCCTAAACCCCAAACCCTAAACCCTAAACCTTTAACCCTGAACCCTAAACCCTAAACCCTAAACCCTAACCCTAAACCCCAAACCACAGGCTCCGCTTGTTTCGGCACTCCTCCAGCGCCGAGGTCCACCGTCATCGCCACGTGACAGTGGAGAACCGCACACAGAGGACCCCAAGCCCTGATTCCAACCCTAAACCCTAAACCCTAAACCCGAAACCCTAAACCTTAAGCCCTAAACCCCAAACTCCGCCTTAAACCCTGAACCCTACATAACCCTAAACCCGTAGCCCTAAACAAGATCCCAACAACCTTGATTCCTGTCCAACCTTGGACAGAAGCCCGCGTACCCAAAACCCGCCTGAACCCTACAAGGCGGGAGTTAGGGGTTTTAAGGGTTTAAGAGGTTAAGGGTTCAAGAGTGTAAGAGTTTTAGGGTTCAAAAGTTTAAGCGAAGGGTTCAAGAGTTTGAATGTTTAACTGTCTAAGTGTTTAAGGGGTTAAGGGGTTTAAGACGTTAAGGGTTCATGGGTTTAGGAGTTTAAAGGTTTAAGAGTTTAAGGATTTCAGAGTGTAAGAGTGCAAGGGCTTAAGAGTTGAAGGGTTCAAGAGTATAAGGGTTTTCGTGCAGCAGATCCAGGGCAATGGGTCTGTCATAACTTAACTATGGTGGCGGCATCAGTGAAATGCAAGACCAGCTTTTGAATTGTAGCCCTAAACCCTAAACCCTAAACCCTAAACCCTAAACCCTGAACCCTAAACCCTAAACCCTAAACCCTAAAAACCCTATAAACCCTATAAACCCTATAAACCCAGAATCCCCGAATGAAGAGTATGGCGGAGTTCATGTGGGCATCTTTTGGGGCTACTTTTTGGCCTGAAGCAGCTCGTGATCTCTGAACCCTTCAGCCCTGCAGACCGCAGAGTTTCAGCCCTACCTTTCGGACTTAGGGCTAAGTTATGGGTTTAGGGTTTAGGGTTTAGGGTTTAGGGTTTAGGGTTTAGGGCTTAGGGTTTAGGGTTTAGGGTTTAGGGTTTAGGGTTTAGGAAGTTTTTTTAACAAAATAGTTTTCCTTTCATTCCCACCCCCCGGAACCCGAACCTCCGTGTCCATAAAATGTGAACCCCTTGAGGCCCCAGCGTGTGGGGTTGGTCGTCCACACACCCATCGTAAAGTCTACCCTGGAGCCGCCTAAGCCTTGAGTTTAGGGTTGAGCGTTTAGGTAGGGTTTAGGGTCTGGGACTGAGGGCTTAGGGCTGAGGGTTTAAGTTTTGGGGCTTAGGGGTGCGAGTTTTCCTTGATTTTTTCGGAGTTTGGGGGGCTATAGAGCTGCCAGGACGGTTGAGGTGCCTCAAATCGAGTGGATCGACAAGGCGATGTGCTTTTGGCCTGATAGGGCCCCTAAACCCTCAACCCTCAACCCTGAACCCCGAACCCTGAACCCTCAATCCCTGAACCCGAACCTTAAGACCTTAAACCTTAAAACCCTGAACCCGAACCTTAAGACCTTAAACCTTACAACCCTGAACCCTAAACCCTTAACCCTTAACCCTGAACCCTTAACCCTGGACCCTGAACCCTAAACCGCAAATTCCAAACCCGCCCTTTTTTGAGGGCCAGAATTACACCCGACAGCGACTTAGCACCGTCGCTTGGACTTACTATGCAAGCCTAAAGAGCTGTGTTGAGCGGGAGCTGCACCTCCAGTGCCGGTGCAGTACCCGCGTGGGTACCCCTTTTCCCTTCTCTAATTCTCAAGGATTGTTAAACCCTGAACCCATGTTCAGGCCCTGTGGAGGCCCGTTGGAGGCAGCCTAGAGCCCTGAAGGGTTTCTCTTCGAGGGTAGAGCGAGCGCCTGCCTTTTGGGTCGCAAAACCTCTCCTAGTAGACTCACTGAAGTGAAGGATGGGGGTGGGAAGTGGGAACTTGGGGTGTCAGATGCTTGCCTAAGGAAGCGGTAGGCAGAGTAAACCAACCCGCCCTTTCTGGTTGTGGGGGGGTCGAAACTGAAAATACGCTGCCGCGAGAAATGCCGCCCACTCACAGCCCCTGGGTGTGCTGGGGCGCCATCTCTGCATGAAATCTACTGCCACGGCGTGGCGAGAAGCCCTAAACCCTAAACCCTGAACCCAACAATGAACCCGAAACCCTGAACTCTAAGCCCTGAACCCTGAGCCCTATAGTACCCTAAACCCTAAACCCTAAACCCTACCAAACCTAAACCCAAAGCCCTAAACCCTAAACCCTAAACTCTGGGGTGCAGGAATCCCTTGAGTTGCATGGCTCAGGGTTCGGGCCCTCAACCCTAAGCCTTACACCTTAAACCCTAAACCCAAAACACTCAACCCCAGGGTGAGAGAGGATGGGGCTTCGAAGGGTTTTTGCCAACACTCTGACAGAAGAAGTACTTGATTCCCCACACCCTGAAGGAACCAAACCTTCAGCCCTAAACGTTTAGGGTTGGGCTTTTGGGGGGTTGTGGGTTTGGAATGAACCCCGAACTTCTTACTCCCCTCCGAACCCTAAGTGCTCTTTAAACCCTGACGCTCTTCAAGCTCTATAACCCTTAAAGCCCCATCGATTTCAACCTTGAACCCTCCGGTCCTATGTGGTGCCCCCCTCCCGCCACTGCCCCCTACACAAGTCCTCAAAATGAGCTCGCAGGTCGTCGAAGTACCTGTGCAAAAGCACGTGCAGGTGCCGAAGACCGTTACTGCCTCTTGTGCCGCATTTTCTCCGGGCTCTAAGCGCCCTAACGGTGCTGGGGGAACCCTCAACCCTACACACGAAACCCTAAACCCTAACCCCAAACCAAACCCTAAACCCTAAACGGCCCTAACTCTAAACCCTAAACGGCCCGAAGCCCTAAACCCTGAAGTTCAGCTGCAAGGCACGGATGCAGGAAAGGCGTGGGTTGAAGCAAGGATTTCAATGACTCCTCTTACTGTCGCTAGTCTGTGGTAGCCAGAGTAGGCCCTTATTGGTTTTAGGGTTCAGGGTTCAGGGTTCAGGGGGTAGGGCCAGGACCCAGAGTAGGCCCTTCTTTTGTTCAGGGTGTAGGTTTCCCCTTTAAACCCAGAAGGGCTTTGTTCCTAGGTTACTCCTGGTCTAGCCATCATTTCTACGTATCATTTGCCATCAGGACGATTCGTCCTGTTATTTTTATTGCTACTATGACGGTTTTAACTAACTCTGACTATTATTACTGTGTTGACGTTTATGTCTCTTATTACCATTATTACTCTCCTGCTTAAAATCTCTTTTGACTTAGTAAGTCTACCTAGTTCCTCCTAGAACCCATAGAAACCCGATTATAATCCCCATAACGCCCCTTACTAACCCTACTCGCGAAGTCAAAGAGCTTCTAAGTAGACCCTTAAACCCGATAAGCCCTAAGCCCTAAATCCTAACCCCTAAACCCTAAACCCTAAACCCTAAACCCTAAACCCTAAACCCTAAACCCTAAACCCTAAACCCTAAACCCTAAACCCTAAACCCTCCCTCAGACCCTTGAAACCTTCGGGCTGCCGCAGCCACCTCGCAGTAGTAGGGAGGGTTCTTGGGAGGGGGGGGGGCTTCATGGGGGGTAGGTACCTAGGGAACCTGCTTAGGGAGCCTTCGGGTAGTAGTGGGGAGTATTAGGGAACCTTGGGTCACACGACCCTAAACCCCAAAACCTAAACCCTAAACCCTAAACCCTAAACCCCAAACCCTAAACCCCACATCCTACACCCTAAACCCTAAACAGTAAAACCTTACCCCTCCCTTAAGAACCCTGTAAAGCAAGACTCGCCGATCCCAGGTTGATCGGCCCGTCGAGGTGCACGAAGATTTACGGGTACAGGGGGTTTAGGGTTTGGGGTTTAGGGTGTATGGTTTGGGGTTTGGGGTTTAGGGTTTAGGGTTTAGGGCTAGGGTGTTTGGGTTTTGGGTGTTTAGGGGTTGAGGGGGTCTAGGACCGCGGGTAGTCTTGGTGGGTCGGCAGGGGGCTTTGGTGTGTCCAGGGTTAGCTTCGCTTTTTGCTCGGAGGTTCCCTAAACCCTCGACCCTAAACCCTAAACCCCCGCTGCCACCGAAGGGAAGGCTCACTGAAGTAATTAGGGATCGTTGCTACGGTTACTGGGTGCAGAACCAGCTTCGAGCATTGTAAGCCCCAAGCCCTAAGCCCTGAACCCTGTAAACCTTATAAATCCTACCGCCTAAACCCTAAACCCTAAACCCTAAACCCTAAACCCTAAACCCTAAACCCTAAACCCTAAACCCTAAACCCTAAACCGTGTTTCAAGGTTGGCCACCACCAGGGTTGGGGTCTTTGGATTAGGGACATGATGGTGAGGGGGGGTCCAGAGTTTCGGCGAAGATGCGCAATACAAGCGTCGGAAGAATTCATGGTCCCTTAACTATTACACTATAATAACCCCCAAAACCGTATTCTGACAATTAAGGCCTTATATTACGTGTGTCTGCCTCAAGTCGTTGATGATCAGCCGCAGCCGCAATTTTAGCTCTGGGTCGGGCTGAGGGAGATCCAGGTGATCCGCAAACGTCACCTGAATGGCAAAGCCTGCAGAAGCGCCTTGAAATTGCCCCTAAACCCTAGACCCTAGACCCTAAGCCCTAAACCCTAAACCCTCAAGCGGGTTTAGGGCTTGGGTCATTCATAGTCAGTTAGGGTTTTTAAGGGTTAAGGGTTCGAAGACGAGCTGCAGCATGCAGCCATGGCATGTCCCGCGAGGCCCAGCGGCTGAGATCATGAGTTGGAATATTCAGTTGCCCTAAACCCTAAACCCTAAACCCTAAACCCTAAACCCTAAACCCTAAACCCTAAACCCTAAACCCTAAACCCTGAACCCTCTCTCATTGACTTATTCCAGAGGGCTTGAGCTTTTGGGACTCCTTTCATACCAGGTACGGGATATAGTACCAACAAGGCGGCGACGGCTTAGAGAACCGATGACGACATGCTTTCAATGCACCACCCTAAACCCTAAACCCTAAACTCGAAACCCTACACCTTATACGAAGCAGGGTTTATACTACTGTTATTGGTGACTGTGCATAAGGTTCCTTTTGAATATTGGTGAGTGTATGTATGGGGTGTCCATTTGGGGATACAAGGAATACAAACCTACTTCATATAAGTTGCGGGACTGGGAACCCGTCATCCTCCTCTCAGCAACAAAGTCGAACCCAAAACGTCCCAAAGCCCCACTGACGCCAACTCCGATAGCCCCAAAAACCGTAACAACCCTTGAGCCTAGAACTCTGAACCCTCAATCCGTAAAACCCCGAAAATCTCTACATCCCTAAAATCCCTAAAGCTCGCCCATAATCCCTAAAATCCAAAAAACCCAAAAAAATCCCGAGTGGCCCTGGGTCGAAACCAAAAAACCTGGTAGCGGCGTTCCCCGTGACCGCAGAGGTTTTTGCAGAAGCAGACCGAAGCACATTTTGTGGAAATGTGCACTTTCCTCGAGTTTTTGAGGGTTGGCCATTTTAGGGGTTGCGTGGCCACTGCAAAAATGTATCGGTTTTACCACTGCTTCCAGCTTTGAGGTGCCTAAAACCGTGGCAGGCGTGGGGAATTCAGGAGAGACAGAACGGAGTGCTCAAAGCGAAGACTTTTCGGAAGCCTTGTTAGACAGACGTAGAATGTTTCAGTGTGAACCCGAACCCTTTCCCGTGTTAGGTTTCAGAAGGGTGTGAGGCAGGCAAACTGTTTTCAGACCCTGGCGTTTGCTCGCTTTGCCAAGGCTCCGAGAGCGTTCCAAATGTCGGGACCATTGTTCTGGCGCCACTCAAAGCTCAGGACATAATCGAAGATTCTGGGGTTCGGCATTCAAATCCAAAGACCTCTTCAAGTATCTCCAGCAAACATCAGGACATTGGGTCCCTGTGCTTCTGCTTTCGCCTCTTTTGGGCTTTGGCACGGACGCAGTGAACTGCATTTCGAGTGGTTCCCGGCCTGAGATCTGATTTCTCTCGCCTCAGCAGCGCTTTTCCAAGCCTTACAGCCATCAGCATAAGGACCACCCAGACCCACGCAGCCACATTTGGGACAGCAGGTGGGAACCCGAAGAAAGCCGCCCTCCACAAGCTTCTTAAACCTCGTTTCCTGCGACATGCTACGTGTCAAAGGCGGGCCGGTGTACAGGCCATGGACAAAGGACACGGCAAGCCATGCCAGAATGGACATGGCTCGGTAAACAAGGGAAAAGGTGCTTTGAGGAGATGCTGCGAGGAGAAGAGAATTGTGTAGTGCAGGGCGGGGAATGGACGGAACCAACCCCCCTCCCCCCCCCCCCCGCCCCAGCAAACCCTAAACCCTGAAAACCCCAAAAACCCTTGCGGTCACCCGTGACGCCGCTAGCAAAAACCTAAACCCTATAGACCCTAGAAGCTAGACCCTAAACCCTAAACCCCCAAAGTGCCCGAAAACTCCCGAAGGTCACCTCCGCGGTGGTGGCCCTGGGTCGCGACAGCCGATGGGCCGAGGCGCTGTTGGCGGCCTTGCGGTCTCCGAGCGCGGCTGGGCGTGGAGGGTTTAGGGTTTAGGGTTTAGGGTTTAGGGTTTAGGGTTATTATAAGGGATCTTAGGGGTTACTTGGGGGGTTATTTCAAGGGATGAAGGCTCGTACCCCTAAGCTTGTGCCCCCAAAAGTTCCCCTTAGGAAAATCCTAGTATGGCCCTCATATTCCCGTAGAGATCCTTAAAAAAGCTCCCCAAACCCAAGGGTACAACCTTAAGGGTCCATGGTAGAACCCCTAGATTATTCGGGAATAAGATTAAGGGTCCCTTCCAGAGGACCCTAGACCCCTTAAGACTGCGATGCTGATTATGATTCCCGAAGGTTGAGGGTTTAGGGTGAAGGGCTTGGGGTGTCAAAGGCTTTAGGGCGTCGGGTGGCTTAGGGTTTCGGGGGGTGTCACTGCACCTTCGCTGCAGCATTGTGAACCCCAAGCCCTGCACCCGACACTGCCCACAAGAGCCGTGTGACCTAAACCTTAAACCCTAAACCCTAAACACTAAACACTGAACCCTAAACACTAAACACTAAACACTAAGCACTAAACCCTGGACCCTAAACCCGCCGAGGTACAGCTCCATGTCATCTGTATCCTGGGTGCATTTTCTCGGATCAAGGTGAAGTGCCCACATCTTCGGCATGTGGGATCTCGGGTCTCGGAGTTTGTTCCCTGAACCCTAAACCCTAAATCCTGAACCCTAGTTATAGGGCTGAATAATCGCGCTGATGGAAGTTTTGGGGGCGTGTTGGGGTCATGCGTCTTTTCAAAGGGAGGCCCTGCCAAGGCCACCTCAACCCTAAACAATCCAGGATAGGTCATCCCTACAGAACACGTGTATTTACATCCTTGCAGAGCCCTTATGCCTAAAACCCTGAGCCCCTAAACCCTAAAGCCTAAAAAACAAACCCTAAACCCTAAGCCCTTTGTCTACAACCCCTATCTTGCCCTTAAAGGGGGTCGGGCGGTGGTTGTTCTAGAGGTCCTTCGCAGGCATGGAGAACTTGGGAAGACCGTCCCTTACAAGCAACAAGGGTTCCAACCTTCTGGTCCTTTTGGCGGGACAGATGTTTGAACAGCTGCCATTTATACCCCAATAACCCTAAACCCTAAACCCCAAACCCCAATAACCCTAAACCCTAAACCCCAAACCCCATAAACCCTAAACCTTCAGAAGCCCTTGTACAGGCCCCCGGAAGGTGGTGGTTTCGATTCCAGTATGCCAAGGAAATCTATCCTTGTTCCCTTCTTCTAGGCTGAGGATCCCTTCTGAAACCCTTCAAAAGAGCCCACAGGCCGCATCTGTTACCCCCCAAACCCAAAACCCCTAAACCCTGAACCCCTAACCCCTAAACCCCTAAACCCCTAAACCCCTAAACCCCTAAACCCCTAAACCCCCAAACCCCCAAACCCCCAAACCCCCAAACCCCTAAACCCCTAAACCCCTAAACCCCTAACCCTAAACCCTAAACCCCTAAACCCCTAAACCCCTAAACCCCTAAACCCCTAAACCCCTAAACCCCTAAACCCCTAAACCCCTAAACCCCTAAACCCCTAAACCCTGAACCCCTGAACCCCTGAACCCCTGAACCCCTGAACCCCTAAACCCCTAAACCCCTAAACCCTAAACCCTAAACCCAGGCTTGGGTGCGGCAGCTTCGGCCTGCGCCAAAGGCCGTCGCTGGGCCGAGGCAGCAAAGCTCTTGGCGCCTCGGGCGGGATGACTGGAGAGCTCTGAGGGGTTTAGGGTTTAGGGCCGTTTAGG